TCTAGAGTGCATAATAGGATTCTTTGTCAAATTAATTGCACTAGTGTTGTCACATTTAATTGGTAAGTGAGTGAGGGATAAACCATAATCTTGAAGTTGTTGCTTCATCCATAAAGCTTGGGCAACACAACTTCCGGCGGCAACATATTCTGCTTCGGCGGTTGATAAAGCAACACTCTCTTGCTTTGCCAAAAACTAAAAAATCAACAAACAAATTACAAGTACCAATTGTACTCTTCCTATCCAACTTGCAACGAGCAACAACCTTTTTTGAATTTGATCTCATCTTTATCAGTATTTACTCATATTAGTCTCTAATTGCAAGTAAATGTTGATTCTTCTGTTGCAGGTTATAGAAGGAAATGATCTTTTAAATGAAAGAACAAATACTGAACTACGATATCTTAAGAAGGCATGCTCTCTCTCTTACATACACATGAACACTTTCCGTAGAATTTTGCTAATATTTGAGAGATGATCATTCCTAAAAAATATTAGCACACTCCCACTCTAACTATAGGGAGCAACGTTGCAATGTTTTAAAAATTGAACGCAGATTGAATCGGCTAAACTAATCGGTTTGATTAGTTTAACCGATTAAATTTGTAATTGAACCTGATAATGTTTGATTGAACTGTGATTAGTTTGATTAGTCTTGGTATGAAACTATGAATGATTCAACCTGCTAATCCAATTTTTTAGAACATTGTTTGGAAGTAAAAATCTGATAATCTCTTTGAAAGTCTTTTGATATCATGGTTCTTCATTTGAATGCACTTCCAACTTATCCGACGGAACAATGAAATATTGGTGATTTAACACCCCCCCCCCCCCCCCCCCTCCTTTATTTTGTAATACTTTCTTCTCAAAGAGTTCCTTCTATTATTTTAGGGTGATATGATGATAAATTATGAAATTAAATATTCTTTTGAACTTTGGCTTTTCTAAACAGAAACCCGAATCTTGAAGGCTGGCTTGTCAAACTATTGTTGGAAACAAAGAAAACTGTGGCAAGGTATATTTCAAAATAATGGATCTTTCTACACAGCTATTTTTTATTTTATTTTACTTTACTATATTACATGTTCTATGTGGTGTGAGGAGTGATGGTTACAAGTGCAGAGCATATAGTATGATCATGATCTACTCTCAATTGATTATTTTTCAATTCTTTGATTTTATAATAATTTATTTTGATTGAATTAATGCCATATATATTTGATAAAGTTCAACAATAGGCTATCAAGTTGATTGCAATTGATTAACAGTAAGAGTAGCATATCTTACCTATATAAAGTCTACAAAAAAGACCTTAACGATGAAGACAATTATAGCAACGAGAAAGTGAATATGCATATGCTTGTCTGTTTCACCTTAGAGCAAACGAAATGTAGTGACTAGCAATCTTTTTTCTATTTGTGTAGCTCTAATAAAGAATTGAGGTATAAAAGCATTGAAAGCTCAAGTAATGATTAATTTCAAAATTAAGATTGGTTTTTTTTTTTTTTTTTTTTGGAAGTTACAAGGAATTGAACACAACACCCTACACTACACACACTCCTAACACACACCCCACACCACTAGGCTAACCCTAGTGGTGCAGATTGGTTTTCTTTAAGTACAGTAGTTGTAGTGCATTTATATATTTGTTATAATGGGCTTTTTGGGAGTGTTTGATTCAAGACTTTGAAATAGTTTCCTATGCATATGACATTAGCAATCTATGACATCCATGTTTGGTACATAGTTTCAAAATATTTCCTCATCCATTGTATTTGCATAGCAATTTAGAAAAGGTCGTGAAAGGTAAGCATAAGTCACTGTTGTGAAAGACAAATTGGACATAGTATTGTGCATTTAGCCAGCTAAATGGAAACATAGGCAACCAAAACCAAAAGCAGACAAAAATTATTACGGAGTTACTTTTGTGTTGTGTTGTCATGTGCAATGGCCACTTGTTTTAATATTAAAAAATTATTAGGGGGTTACTTTTGTAATTTTATACCATTTACTCATCAATATTTTATTCTCAACTAAACATAAATTTCAAAAAATTTAATCAATTTGCCTAGTAATATTTGGCCCAATCAAACAACTTTTTTTTTTAACTTTCTTACCTAACTCACTTTTCCTGGTAAAAAAAATTTCACTTGAACCAAACGCCCCTTAAGTTGTTGTTCAAAGGATTCCTCGGTGGAAGAAGTAATAGACCAAGCCAAGCAGCACCTATTGATGCTTAGAAAGAAAAGCTCCATTATGTAACTCCTGGGTTTAACACAGTTGGAAGCATCATTGCAAATCACTGATGCTTTGCGTCATAAATTTATGGAGACTCTGGTTCTTAAAGTAAGCTTACAGATATCTATAATGTATAATTTCCCTTCAATGTTATGCAATGCTTGCCACTATGTTCTTTATTCTTTAGGGTACAAATCTTTGTGTAATAGTATGATATCATGTGTACGCTATCCAAACCAAGAGCCAAAATCCAAAGTATAAAGAACATGGAAAACCAAAATGTTCTATATACCAAAAATATTTGTAATATTCTGTTCACTTTGATTCTGTTATCAAATTGACATCTTTCAACCAATTCTGTCATCACTAAGTGTGATAATGTGGGACGCCGGACTTATACCACTGGCTGCCTTTGATTTCCTTGAAGTTAAAAAAGTTATAAATTATAGCTTCAATTCTTTTTACCTCATATCAATGGAAGAGGAATGGGAGCGTTTGAAAGCTCAAGCATTTACTAAAATTTAAATCATTCTTAAATAAATACATTTTAATTTAATAGACGAAAAAAGGTTATTAAAAAGTAAAAAGTAAGTGAGATAATTAAGACACATACTTAACGTACAAGTTACTACTACAAATTTTATTTTATTTTTTTTTAAACGAAAGTTCTAGACCTCTATTTCAAGCTCCAAAACTTGTTTTGAAAATTCAAATTTACTGAATTGTGACTCCACTGTTTGAGACTTGAAAGATACGTTTCTGACATTGGTTTTACTTAACAAAAAGTGGGGACAGAAAGGGGTTGCTTTGAAATTCTTGACCCTTTTTTCAGAGGGGATAGAATTTTGGACCCTTTTCCTTGGCCTTTATATAGAAGAACATGAGTTAAGATATCCAATATCATTGCCCCCACATGGCCCTTTAGCATCCCATCCCTTATTCTTAAGACCTTATGAAATGCATATAGGACATATGGGGAGCGGGGAACTGAAGGGTAGTCTTGTGCGGCGGGTCCATACATAAGTGTTATCATATATTTTTATTTTATTTTTTAGATATCATAAGTGTTATCATTTTAAGGTTGATGTGTTTGTACTATCGTTGTTCCAACTATTTAAAGTAGGGTTTTATAAAAGTTATGTTGTAGGAAAAGTGATTGTGTAATGTTATAGAGATTCGTTTTGCGTATCTTAATTTTTTATTTATTTTTTTGTTTTAAAAAGTGTGGGCCCCACAAAATATTGTGAGAGTAGGAAAGTTTGTTGTGTTATGTTAAAGGGTTTTATAATTCTCATTTAACATGAGAATTATAATTTTCCTACACACCCTTCGATTTTCGTGCTGACATGGGTCCTACATATTATTTTTTCTAACGCATGGGTCCCATATGCTTTTTATCTCTACAACATGAGATTTCAATTCTCTTTCAACATGAGAATTATAAAACCCTATATTAAAAGGATAAAATGAAAACCCTTTAAAGTAAGTTATTGTTGCGGTTGCGGTAGTTGAATGAATCCACCTATTTCCAATGCCCATGTGTTGTGTTTCAAACTTTCGATTCAATAAGTGGCAAGTATAATGTAGTTTAAATCATCCACTGTGCAAGCAATTGACCTTTGATCACAAAATCTTTACTCGCATCACATCACTGTTTGTTTAGTTAATTTGACCATTTTCGATTCGGCTTGGAAATGCGAGCTTATTCCTTTGTAAAATTGGTGATTGTTGGGGCTAACTAAGAGGTGATTATCAAATCCAGTTATTTTGTTACTTAAAATAAATAAAAAATCAGGAAACCAAAATCTTTTTAGCGTATCTGTTGAGAAAGTGATGGACATGGCTACTTATATTTACTCAAAATCATAATTTAAAAAAAAAAAAAAAAAAACTTCTTCTACTTTTTTATATGCAATTTACATTCTAATTATTTAATTACATGTAGTTTATCATAACAATTTTAATTATTAAAGTATTTCATCCCCTAAATTTTTAAGTAATAACAAAAATATTTAATTTATTCTCGTTAATTTTCTGACTAGTGTAATTTTGTTCAGTTATCAAATTTTATCAACAACTTTTAACAACACTTTAATGAAAGGTAAATTGCATATTCAAGTAAATTAATTGCAATAATCAAATATGTTATAGCAGATTTATTATTTGTTATCTCATAATATTGCCTAACAGGGAATATCTATACAAAATCAAATATTCATCTCTTTTCATTTTGAAATTGTGCTACTGAATAATTAACATGTTTTTTTTAAAATAAAAGGAGAAATAAATTCGACTCGAGTAAACTTTGTATATATATATATGTATATATATAAAAGGATTTTTCTTATAATAATGTACAAGATTTTTTATCAACAAGCGTTACAACTGAGTATAAAAGAAGATTTTATTATATTATTTTCATGTTTGGGTCATTCAGTTACATAAGTTCATAACCTAAAAGTTATAGATATATTAAATTCTTCTTATTTTGTTGTCTCTGGCGTTTGGATTTTAGAAGTTTAAACTGTGTCAGTGTCTCCCGCTCACTCTCACTTTCTCTTTCACATTCACACACAACACACAACGAGCACACGCACAATCTCACTCACACTCTGGATCTGCACATAGCATTCAAGCTTTATTTTAATCTTTATGTTATCATCTCATGGTGATTATGTGGTCTTTGAAAACATGTATGAGTAAAATTTTCATTTGGAAGCATTGGTTTTGAGGCTGTTATTGTTGAAGTCAATGCATGCAAAATGAATAAGGAGAATGCTATGGTTGGTGGTGGTGCTGTCAGGGTCACTCGAGCAAGGACTAGAGCCTTTAGGGGTGTATCTGTCTCCTCAAGACCCTCAGTACTATGCACCAAAAGAGCAGCTTCTGATGACATTAAATCTCCTGTTGTGTCTTCTACCTCTGCTGATAAGAGCATGGAAGTGTTAACAAATGTTACAAACATATGCAGAAAATCACATGATAAGTGTATTAAGGCACCAAAATTTCAGGTATGCATTGTGGCCTACTGTCCTTTTATTTTTCTCACTAATTCATTAATAAAATCTAAATAATTTAAAGGAGTAAATAAACAATTAGTCCCTGAAATTATTCTCCATTCGTAGTTTAATTTCTGAAATTTTACAGTTAGTTCTTCTTCTATTTCACTTTGGTCCTTAAAAAAGTTAAATTGAATATAGGTTTTTTAAATTTAAGGAGTGATTAATACACATAAATAAATTCAGGGACTAAACTGCATGTGAAGGATAATTTCTGGAATTAAGTTACCTGTTTAATCTAATTTGAAGTGTGAGTTGGTGATTCGGTTTATCTATTCATTATATAGAGAAGAGGAGGTTATAAGAAGAGAAACACAAAGGTAGCTTCAGGTGTCTCCATTCAAGTTCTGTCAACCAAAGTGGATGTTAGAGCAAAGTTAGATAATGATTTGTCCACAATAAAGATGGATGAGTCACATGACACCATTGTCACGGAAAGGCTAGAAGAGAGAGAGACACTGCAACCTTGTATGTCCAATAGCATGAGAGAAAGTGTTATGGCAGATCCCTTCCTTTCAATGCAGGAGACTCTGATGTCTGATGAACTTCTAAGCTCTCCAAATAAAGGTTTTTCAATAATCTTTTGTGTCACTACTATTATGTTTTAATACACTATAAGTATGCTATGCATGGCTTAATAATTGTAAAAATGACATTTATAATTGTACCTCTTTGGTTGAAAATATGAGAATTACAAGAAGGAACTTTCAAGTTCATGGAATTAAAATCTTATTTGATTTCCATTTTGCAAAAGCATGAAAATAAGTTACAACAAGAAACGAGTACTCACCGCAAAGATAATATCCAAATCTTAGAAGTTAGCATTTCATAAATTACTGAATTCTTTTAATCTTAAATTGGATTATGCAGACAAAGACATGATTTGTGATAAACTAAGAGCCTCAGAAGTCTTTGGCATTATGGACATTGATTCAGAGTTAAAGGATTCTCAAGTTTGGAGTTCATATGCCCCAGATATATACAATTATATATGTGTGAGAGAGGTTGGTGATGTAGAAATTTCCTTTTTTGTTGGGATATTTCTATTATACTTTTAATGTTTGTGTGACTGATGACAACTTAGTAACTTCTCTTAAACATTGTTATGATGTAGTCCTCAACTGCTTCTGCTTTTCTTCTGTTTTCTCAGTGACTGTTTGACAGCATTATAACATTCTTTCAGAGTATAAAAGTAGAAAGCATATCTATTCAGTAACATTATAATGTCATTGCATAAATGAATTTTTTAAAATGAAATCATTCTAGTGCTAAGGAAAGAACATGATCATAACTTTCTCTACAAAAAAAATGATGGTAAGTTATGATTAAATCTCTTCAGCGTGAAAGGAGACCGTTAACCAATTACATGGACAAGTTGCAGCAAGATATCACTCCGAGCATGCGGGGAATTCTGGTTGATTGGCTTGTGGAGGTTAGTCCCATGGCAATAAGCTTATATCTATAGGCTATACTAGAGGACATCTTAAGCTTGTCCTTTTATCACTTTGTTGCAAATTTCTGAGTGTGTGTGTGTGTGTAATACAAGTTCAACTACATGAATGTATGTAATTTTTGGTGTTTGTATAGTTTTGACAGTAGTACTTCTTTGATTCTTCCTTTAGTCTATCTGAAAGAAATTTTTGAAATAGTCAACCAATACCAACCTATGAGGGTTTTTTTCACTGTTAAGTTTTTCAATACTCTTCAACCATGTTTTTTTTTATTCAATATCAATTCTTTATGAGTTGATATCAGAAAAAGGATTATTTATTTTCCATGTTGTTCAACAAGTGGTAATAAGCAAACCGTATTCTAATCCAAGTTTCTTTTGTTTCCCCGTATAATAGTTTTGTAAGTTCATTTAAAATTTAAAAACTTTAATAATCTGGTCATACATTTTGGTACTTGATTTCAATGTCATCTCAAGCATTCTAACCATGCTTGTGGCTATTATGCACCAAAAGACTTGTTAATGTATTCTCATCTACAGCTTTCAATAGTTGAAAGATTGAATTAATATTGAGAATGAGCTGGATTCTTATAACTTTTTTGTTCATGATAAAAGCACATTTGGAATGAAAAACAAATCTTTGAATACTGTCATCTAAGTTGCATCAATCTTTGGTTGCTGAATGGGTTTGCTGAAGCTTTGCTATATTACTTTTCAGATTTCTGAGGAATATAAGCTAGTTCCAGACACTCTTTACCTAACAGTGAATCTCATTGATCGTTTTCTTTCTAGAAGTTTGATTCACAAACAAAGGCTCCAGTTGCTTGGTGTCACTTGCATGCTGATTTCATCGTAAGTACAGTACTCTATAATTGTCCTGGTTGGTCCTGAATCCTGATTAAGATGCAAGTTTCCCATGTTCAAGTTAGAGTTCCTGATGCTTCTCTTTAAACTCAGAACTGTGAACATTGAAGCTTTTATAATGATGAAGTTGATGTGGCAATAGTTTTTACATCCTCAAGCTAGAAAGGAAATTTTATTTGGATTTCAATTAATAAATCTGTTACTCCCAGCATGTGTGTAAGATGCGTGTGGAAAGCAGAAGCATTTCTATTGTTTTGCTTTGTTATTCTGACATAGCCTTGAAGAGTTAGGAAATAGTGAAATTGCTGGGTTATATAATTTATTGTAGAAGATATTGATCTTGAATGCATTTTGTGATACTGAAAACTGATAATGTACAATATCACCTTAATTTTTTTTAATATCATAAGGAAATTCTAAGTGGCTCTTCTTTTCTTTCATGGCTTTAAGAAAGTATGAAGAGATTCGTGCTCCTCAAGTGGAAAAATTTTGCTTCATCACTGATAATACATACAAGAAAGCAGAGGTATAGTATTTGGTTGTATTGCCGGAACCTTCATCTTTTCATATATTATTCATGATGATTGATGACTGGTATGAAATACACATAATCATTGGCACTTGATAGGTATTGGAAATGGAGAAAGAAGTTCTAAATCTTTTGCATTTTCAATTATCTGTTCCCACAACCAAAACATTTCTCAGGTACATATTATATATACAATTTTGTTCGAACATGCAATTTAGTTAAAACGTAATTGAACTATGACAATCTTGTTTGGCTTTCAGGAGGTTCATCCAAGCAGCACAATCTTCTGATTCTTCCTACAAGGTACTATAGACTGTAGTTGCTATTAGATATCCACAACTTAACTTCAGACAGTGCTTCTATTATGCTGAAAGGAAAACAAACAAAAACCAATTTGGTTGTAAAATTTCCCTGTTATACAGGTTCCTTGTGTTGAACTGGAATTCCTTGCAAATTATTTAGCAGAGCTTACTCTTGTTGAATACAGCTTCTTGCAGTTTCTACCTTCCCTGATAGCTGCATCTGCTGTATTACTTGCTAGATGGACCCTCAACCACTCAGAACATCCATGGGTCTGAACTTAATTGTGACTACTTATTTGCAAGTTGACAATTTTCCTTAGAGGGAATGGATACTCACATGTCCCTTCTTAACATTGTGGAAAATCTCAGCCATTCATTGATAGATTAATGGCAGGCAATTAAAAATAATTATTTTCTCTTCTTGTGTTACGAGCTTTGTCATTAAAATTATGACCATTGAATTATCAATGATTGAGATTTTTTATATGACATGATTATGTTAAAAAGAGACATTAGAGGATCCATTCCCTTGTTTGGACATGAATAAAACTAAAGATTCACAAGTGTATTTATTTGCAGAATCCAACTCTGGAGCACTATACAAATTACAAAGTGTCAGAGCTCAAAACTACTGTCCTTGCACTTGCAGATTTGCAACTTAATACCAAAGGCTGTTGTCTGAATGCTATTCCTGAAAAATATAAACAAGAGAAGGTCTAACTCTTGTTCTTTTTTTCTGTTGATTAAAGTTTTAACTCCACTAGCCACACAACCCAATTTCTATATATATATCACAAGGCTTATTACATAATATTATTCTGCTTTCTTTAACATATTCTCCATCTGATTAAACTAAGTGACTCAACAATTTAACATGCTTGCTTTTAGCATAACCAAGATGCTCATGACAGTGAAATTTGCTTCCTGTGACAGTTCAAGAATGTGGCATATTTGTCTCCAAAACCGGTGCAGTCACTTTTTGAGGTTCAAGTGTAAATGATGCATATCTAAAGACAAAATGATGACAATAGGAATTTCTGATAAAGGGAAGGTGATATTATCCTTGGTTGTAACTTGTACTGTTATTAATTTCAAGTTACGGTCTGTTCCATAGTTGTAACTTGTAACTTGTTGGATGGCACCAAACTCTTGAGCTTCCAATCTCCCTGTAACATGAAATTGCAACACCATGATAGAGCTAAAGCAGAGAACTGTAGTACTGACATGTACTAGACTCCATTTTCAGGTTGCTTTTATACAACAACCATTGTAACTGTGTCAAGATTACTTTTATATTGCATCCATCATCCGTTTGTAATAAAAAAAGAGAGTAAATACTCTTTTTGGTCCCTGGCAATATCCACGAAGTCCTTTTTGGTCCCTAGCAATAAAAAAGGGACATCTTGGTTCCTTAAATTACAAAAAACAAGTCATGTTAGTCCTTCTGTTAAATCCCATCCAACAGCCAATCTAATGGTGCACACTTGGCACGTTAGTTAGCTGACGCGGATTTGAGTGGTCCACCGTGGAAATGAGACGACGACATTTTGATAATCAGGTGCATCTTCTTGGTCGTGAATGGACACGTGACCTAGCATCAAGGGTAACCTGACCCAACGCGTTGGGGTAAATTGGGAACCCTAAATCAGCCTAAATCAACACTAAACAAGAAAATCCCCCAAAATCTCCAGACGTTGCTGACTAAAAATCGACGACAATAGAAGTTATTTACTGGATTTGCTAGGGCGTAGGAGAAGATGAGTCTTTCTTCTGGCATGGGGGGCTCAAGTGGGAGTACTTCAATAGGGGGAAGAACACTGACAAGGACAGTCGGTCGTAGGTGCAAATGTGGGAGACAAAGTATCGTGTATACCTCCAAAACTGAGAGAAACCCAAACAGGGCATTCTTTGGGTGCCCTAATTTCAAGGAATACATGTGTAATGTGAAGTTATTTAAGTTGAAACACTTGTTCACCGTGGTTTGTTATTTTGGCAGGAGAAGAAGCCGTTTTGTGATTTTTTAGATGGGTAGATGATGTATGTAATGAAAGGCTGGAGCTGGAAGATGGAAGAATACACAAGGTGGAGTTGGATGTTACTGAAATGGATTTTAAGTTGAAGTATGTGGACATGAGATGAGTGAGGAATTGCAGTTAAGCTGAATGACCAAGGTGTGAAGATTAGGGAGCAAGAACTGAAGATTAATGACCAGGAAAGAAAGCTGAATGAGCTATACCTGAAGATGAAATCAGAGTTAGATAGGATGGACAATGAAATTAGGCATGTTAGTAGGTCATCTAAGGTCATAGTTGGTGCCTGTGTAGGTCTGATCCTGATTTGTATTTTTGTTGCAAGTGTGGTAACAATCAAAACTAGTGTACGAAATGTATTTTTTCTTGACTGAAGTGTAATGAGTTCTCTGTACTTTTATGAGGACATGAATAAAGATGTTTTTATTAAATGGCTTATTCTGTATTGGTTTGAAAATGTGTTTTTGATGTGCTTTTTTAGTGTGGTCAAGCTTAACAATATGTAAATGCCATGAACAAGGTCATGGATTATTCCTTGCCATCTGTTTGCGTCATATATTTCTATATCCAATGCCATTTCAAGCTCGTGGATTATAAGCATTGAGCTATTATACTGCATACTTAGGCTGGAATCAATGTATCAGTTGGAAGCATTGTACCACAAACCACAATGTATCAGTTGGAAGCATTGTATCACAATCCACAAATCAACAAATCACTGTATCAGAAGTACCAAGTTGGAATGCAGTCATATTTGTTAATGAAGTGATGAAAAGGCTCTTTTTGGTCCCTGACAAAAATCACGATGCTCTTTTTGGTCCCTGACAAAAGCCACGAGGGCCTTTTTGGTCCCTAGCTAAAGTAAAAAAGGTACATGAAATCAGAATGCTAAACCAGAAGACATGGATGTACAACAAGTTGGATTACTAAATCATGAAATCATTGTAGCACACTTCCACCAACCACAACTATATATGTTAAATGCAATCAGAAAAGGCAAAGTTAAACATTCATAAGAGTTAGGAAACATCATATTTGAAACATCATATGAGTATCATTATATTTGAAGACATGGATGTACAGTAGTGCATTACAAAATAAAGACAACGGTCAGGAATTAAAAAAAAGGCCTCTAATACAAAATGGCATTTGAATCATTGTTGAGTACAATTCAAAAGGGTATAACAATATGTTCCCAAAAAAACGTTTGCATAATAAGGCCTTCAAATACATAATGGCCAGGAATTACAAAAAAAGTCATTCACATAATAAGAAACCCTTCTCAGTTGGCTCATGCACTACTCCCAGGTCATATACATCAGTAGCTCATTTTCTTGAGGCAGGTCTTGGTGGCCTAAAACCAGGTGTGCTCATGAAGGCCAATAATCTGCTTCGTGTGGCACTGCTTGCTACATTTATAGTTTCATTACTCAACAGTTCCTGTGCCTGTTGTGGATTTGATGGAGGTGGACTGCTTCCTCTCAAGTTTCCCTCATGTGGCTGAGAATTACCCACTGCTGCAGGGCCTCCTTGACTTAATGGGATTTCATCTACTGAGCTTGATCCAATCCTTACATTCATTGCATTTTCTGGTCTTGCTAGTCTCTTCCCTTTGTTGGTAGTTGGTGGTCCCTTACATGTCTTTGCATAGTGTCCATGTTGACCACATTTAGGACATTTGGTTGCATAGGTCCTTTTCACTTTCTTTGTATTGCTCCCTTGTTCTTCACTTGGGTCCTTCCTCCTGTGTTTCTTAGGACACCCAATTGGCCTTTTCAGTTTTGGAGGAAGAGGTTTGGGTTCATCAGATGAAGGCCAATACTTGTCTGAATTAACTGGGTTCAAGGTGTGTGCATAAGTGGCATGCAAAGCATCTACTGTAAGCCATTGATGCACATAATTCTCAGGAGGTTCATTTTTGTGACAAATGGCTGCTACTGCATGCTCACATGGCAATCCAGTCAACTGCCATGCATTGCATGCACAAGTTTAAGTTGTTAAATTCACTCCCACTTTCTCACCCCTGCCACTGACTTCATACATTTCTTGGTGCAGATTCCCTGTCCAAGTTGGTGTCCATGAATTGCTCATTACCTTTATTTGATCAAGTTTCTTCTGTTGAGCAGGAGCTATTTTACCCCTGATAGTTCTTAGAACCCTTTGATGTGTTGTCATCCTCCTCATAATGTAGCACCTCAATTCCTCCAGAAGACTGAATATTGGTTTGGACCTATAACCAACAATCTTGGCATTCCATATCTGTGCCATGTTTGTTATGTTGTCACATTTGGGCCAGTGACTGAAATATGCCTTTACCCAACTTGAGGGATCAATGTTATCTAAATACTTCCATGCTGCCTCATTTAATCCTTTCAAATGTTGCATTGTTTTCTGGAACTGTGGAACAGTGTTGCATCTTGAACACTCCCAAACAATTCCTCTGTTTGCCTTATCTTTCCAATGTTTTATAAAGTTTTCCATACATGTTGCACACAAAATCGATGATGTGCACCAGGCATGACCTCTTGCAGTGCTGGAATCAAACCCTGCACACAGAGACCAAACAAGCAAAAAAACAATGAGTGCATAAGGACCATTGTCAAGTAAACAGAGTCACAAATAAAGTTCCAGTTCTCTTTTGATCAGAAATACATACCTTTTGTTGATCAGAAATAAAGTTCCAACCATAGACTCCATGGTTGCCAATGTCTTCTTGTAACAGAGTCAAAAACCACTTCCAGTTCTCTTTTGTTTCACTATCTACCACTGCATAAGTAATGACATAGAAGCTCTTGTTTGCATCTTCGCTAATTGCACTCAACAACTGTCCTCCATAATATCCTTTTAAAAAACAACCATCCAGGCCAATTAATGGCCTGCAACGAGCTTTAAACCCTCTCTTACATGCATCAAGACAAATATACAATTTGGAAAATATTGGTGGGGCTTGTGGGTCAGGTTGGGGTATCACTTGCATTTGACAAGTAGAGCCAGGATTGCTTCTCAAAAGCTCCCTAAGTAGTCTCTCAGCTTTGCATATTGCTCCTTTTCACATCCTTCAATTCTGGCCTTGGCCTTATGAAGTGCCTTGGTAACTTTCTTCAAATGGACATAGACCTTATACTTCTCTTTCATATGTTCATATGCTTCAGCCCTTGTCATGTTGGGCTGTGTCATTAACCTTTTCTCTAATTTATTTACAACCCAGTCCTTACTTGCCCTCTTATTTCTGAATAGTCTACTGCAAGAATGTGAGTCATTAAAAGTTTTTACCTGAAAAGAGGCCAATTTATTGTTCCAAGCACAAAATATCATCCACTGACAGTCTTCATTACTACATTTGGCTCGTACCCTGATCTTGTCATTCTTCACCCACTTAAATTGTCTTCCTAGACTAATATTATAGTCTTTCACAGCATTCTTAAAGTGCACTAAACTCACAAACTCCATTCCAAGCTCTAAGTGGACATGCCCAAATGAATCATCCACATTAAACTTTGGATTGACAGCCCTTTCAACCTCCTCAGCACCACTTGAAGGAGGAGTCTTCAACTCTTCAGAGTTATATCCATACCCATCCTCTTCGAAAGACATTTGCTTCTCCTCCTCTTCCATTGTATTTTCCCATGCCTGCTCCTCAACAACCTTTTTTTTCTTCTTGTTACACTTTTTTTGTCTAGTAGCCTTAGGTATACACTCATACTCCTCTTCACTCTCTGTTTGGTCTTCATAACCTGGTGGAGGAGACTTATATGGCTCATCCTTCACACTATCATATGAGTCACTAGACAATCCATCACCAGAGGAAACATGATCAGATCCACTACCAAATGAATCACCATGCACCCTTTCATCATCACCACTCTCACATTCGACCCCATCACTCCCTTCTACAGGTGCAGGTGCTATAATATCAGGGATTGCAATGCAATCTTCAAAATATATTTCTATCTCATTCCCATTACATAATGCAGTCTTAACCATCTCCACAATATCAGAGTCCGTATTTCAGAGGTTTTAAACCTACCTCTAAATCCATTTCATTTGGCTTGAGCCATAACATCTGCTTACAACTATCATACCCATAACCCATGAACAGAGTTTCAAGGTCACGCAGGTTCACAAAGTCAGCATCCATCTCAGGTAAATCATCTACTTTACCATTTACATATGTTAGGACCTCTTCATCATTTCTGACTAACACACCCCCATGATGATACCTTATCACTATATATTCATCCATCTGTAAAACAAACAGACCACATTGCAATTACCTACCAAAAGGCTATTGCAATTATATTTGACAATGTTAACAAACAATCAGTTTTTACAACAATATCAAGATGCATATATAACTCAACACTCGGGGAGAAACATACAGTACAGTGCACTCACAAACAAAAACATGTCAGCTTTACAAAATAGGCATGCAATTCATTTACCTAACATGAGGGTCCACAAAACACTAAAAAATGGCAACACATTACTGAAATCGGGACCACATACATAAAAAGGTTTGTTTTTTTCTAAACCCTAACCAAAACTTTAGCAGGGACCACACATGGGGACCATATTCAACATAAAATACAGAACAATTGTGAGGGGGGACCACATATAAAGATCAATTTCTGACAACACGTACCTTTGTGCATGTGAGTTAACACCCACAATCGTACTTTCCTAAACCACCACAGAAGCAGCCGTTCCAAATCCTTCCAAGTCCACGCGCGATCTCCACCCACAAACCACCCTAACTCACAATGCTCACCAGTAACGAAGCTCAGCAGTAAACATTGGGGTTCTTCGCAGGTAACCACAAAAGTCAGTGGATGTCTAACAACGATAAGGTTGAAGGTAGTGGATGAGTAATATCAACTCAACAAACGACATTGTTTGCTTATAATACATCCACTTAAGGGATTATCAAAACGTCGTCGTCGTATAATAATTAAGATAATAATGATATAAAATCCAACGACTGAATTATTTAAATCAATTTTTAAAGTTAATATATGACAATTAATTAATACTTAATCCTAGGTTGGTTTGTTGGCCTTAAAACGCGTAATTTTTGTATTGCAAGTTCAAGGCTATTATTGACCTGCAATGAAGAGCAACTGAGGAGTGTAATGTAAGTAGGTACATACACAAAAAGAGAGAATTTTTTTTAAATAAGCTTATACAGAAAATCGTTTGATCCACTGCATGGTCCTTCTCAGCACTAATCATGAGGCAAATAGTGTTACCACACAGTAGCAATCTAAACCGTGTTACAACATCTGGCTGCCAGAAGCACTATTACAACATTGGATCCAAAAAACAAAGTGCCACTCCCTATAACAGCCATTCCACATTTCTTGATTGGGAACCCAGCATGCAATTCAGGTCATCAAAGGAGACACTAAAACAGCAGTGTTTCCAATTACAGGCTTTAGACTGGCTGCATGCTCGAGTTGTTTCCATGCCTCCTTTCTTTTCTCAGCTGCTGAGCTTAAAATTGCTTCTTCCTCCTTAAAGTGAGAATGACAAGAAAGGAAGAGCTTCTCATCCATCTCCAAGAACATCTTTCTTATACTGTGTGTTAAGTTGACAACTGCCGGGTTCCAGTGGCTTTTAACATTCTTCTCTAATGCTGGAAATATGATGGGCAGGATCACTTGACGGTTATGAGCAATCAAGTTGACAATGTGGTCATTGTTCCATAAGAAAAGGGCCCTTTCAGCTACCTGAAACAATTCATGCAATCAACAAGCAGGTCAATGGAAACAACTTATTTTCAAAAGTGCCAAAAGAGGGCAAAGATTATATTGGGGAAAAGTGCCAAAAAAGCTACAAATGCAAAAGGGTATAGAATTGCAAAATTAATCCCATTCACAGCAAGTAACCAAATTGTTTTCCGAAAATCTGAAGCTCAGGAAAACCTTTGGGTAGATATCAAAAGTTCAAACAAAAGACACTTGGGAAACAACGACATATAGGAATATTTAACCAAACGATCCTCTATGGTACACTTAATATATAACTAAGTGTCATTAATGCTTACGCAAAAATTTCACTTAATAAAGCAGCATGTTGGGCCACAAATGCTATGACAGAAACTAACCTAAATATGGAAAAGTGAGAGAAAACCTACAAAATTCAAGAATCTTTTACACGAGACCTCCAACCTTAATTATCTATCATACTTAAGTGAGTAACTGAATTGTGAGTGCTTCTATCAAAAATAAACTAAAATATCAAACCAGCCAGCATAGTCGTAGACTCGTAGTAATCAACAAAGAACTAACCAACCGCATGGCATGAATGTACAATTTCTTGCTAGTTAAGGGTACTACAAAACTAATTTGCCCTGGCCTACCAAGCATTCACTTATGTGTTCATAATTGAATATATTACTAAACATAAAGAGTGAAGATCTTCACATCTGTAATTAGAGTATTAGACTGCAATGTACATTCACAGAAATAAAACCTGCCAGAACATGACAGTGAAAGTAAATATTGACACCATGCAAGCTATGGAGCATTAATATAATCCTTCAAATTGTAAAAATAAACATAGGTTTATGCAAATAATGAGGATTAACCAAATGGATTCAGTATAACCATTGTACCTGAAAGTGTAAGCTATTAATGCAGCACCCAATCCGCCAAAACAATGGGACCATGACCCTTTGGAACTCTACCATGTTAATTGCTTCCAAAATTTCTTCAAGTTCACCCAGAAACATCACCTCTTTCTGACTATTTGTTACTGGCCAATATCTCAACAAACCCCTTATCACAATGCTTGCTAACTTTGGCTCCTTCTCTATAAACTGTGTAACACAGTAGGACAATTGCTGAAAGTAGACCCCCATAGATTTCGGCTTGTGCAAGGGGATCAAAACTCTCCACAAGAAGATTTTGTGTTCCTCTTTCAAGGGTAAAGCAAACCCACTAATCACACTCCCAAAAATCTCCAACAACTCAGCAATCCCATTGTGTTTCTCAGACTCAGACACAAATCGATAAAATATATTGTTAATAGATTTTCGAATATAAGGTCTATGCACCATAAACTTCCCATAAATCCTATGCAGAATCGTCTTCAAGCAGTCTCTTTCTCTAGGATCCTCTGAATCAAACAATTCAAGCAATCTGGAAACAAACGAATGATCGATATACTTTTTTGCTACCTTAGCATCGAGGCATGAAGAAGAGATAAATTTAAGCAGCAATTCATACACAATTTGTAAATGTGGCCAAGCAGGATCAAACATTGGCCCATCATCATCATTCTCACCACCACCAGCACCACCCCCATTAGCCCTATAATTAGGTGGAAAAACTCTAAACAGATTAATAGCACACATTCTACACATAGCAAGGATAGCAGGCTCACTAAATCTCATTGACCCACAAGCCACAAAATCAACAAGTTCAACCAAAGTTTTCCTTTTCACATCTTTATCCGCAACGTTCTTACCAGGGTCAGTGAAATCAAACGTAACACAACAAAGGCTCAACTTACTCACAAACAGGTTCATCTTCTCAGCATTAGGAACATCCTTAAACGGCACCAAAGGTTCGATTCCAGACACCATACTCGCCGGAAAAACCGCCGACGAGGAAGCTCGTTTTGCTGCGTTGGCTCGGGCGGCGGAAGAACCGCCACCGTTCGGTCGTTGGCTTCTACGTGGCGAAGCGGTAGAACGCGACGAGTTGCCTCGGGGCGACTCGTCCGAGTCGGGGTTCAACGACTTCCGAGGAAGCTTGCTGAGGAATTGCTTGAGCATTATGACCCAGAAGCAGAAATCAACGAATTCCAAAGCTTTTAGATCGAATCCATGAAGGAAGAATCGGAATCAATCGAACCAGAGAATGTTAATTCCAACGCGTGCCGGGAAAAAGGGAATCAGAAACCCTAGATCTCGGTCGCCGAAGCAAGCAGAAATTCCGATCAATGTGGGGTGCCGCGTGAAATTAAGATCCACATTCGAAATGGGTTCGAGGAAATTTTCGGTTTTGCAGCATGCATAGATGGAAAAATCAAATCTTGAAGATTGTGGTTTGTATGCTGACGAAGAACAACGTGAACCACAAGAGGAATGATGAATCAGATGAAGAGAAAGGGAAAGAGAAAACGTTCATTACAAAAAGAGAAAAATGTGCAGCCAGAAGAATTACAATAATAATGTTACATTTGAACCGAATCTCACATTCTCAACATTTTCTCCACTTTTTCTCGGGAATGTGAGAAAAAGAGAAACGAAACTTGTGGTTGAATTTGGAAAAGAAAAGATATTAGGGCACAAGTAAAAAAGAAGGGGAATTATGGATGTGGTGGTGAGTGCTGACTGGCGAGGATGATGAAGCTCTGCACAGATTTTGGGTAATGGATTGAACCCTCTGAGCTGTTCCTTCTTGTTAATGAATCACCTCCATGAAACTGAAAAAGAAACATGAGAAAAAGGAAAAAAAGTACAATGAGTTTGTGTTTTTCTTTTTATTCGCAAAAAAAAAAAAAAAAAAAAAACTGTCTTTTACTTTTTTAATCTCGAAAATAATCAGAATTATCATCAAATTATAAGAGAACTTTCTTTTTTATTTTTATTGTTTTGCGAGCATGTAATTGCTATTTGCTATGGCACTTTCTGTATTATTATTTTTCTGCAATTTTAACTCGCATATTTAGATATATATCATTATTCAACTGAGGGGGAAAACGACAAAACCATATGAGTATATTTTGGAGGGAAAAAAAAAAGGTGTCATTAAGAAAGAGTTTGGAAAGTAAAACCGTAAAATTAGGGACATCACAACTTGTCACGTGTAATTTCTAGGGTCATCACTAGGTGATCACGTGTATTTATGCAATATATTTTCTTAACAATTATTTAATGAGTTTGTTTTTTCTAACATTACTTTAGATAATTTTATCTAATGTTCATTGAAACGACGTTGTTTTGGGACAGAAATTATGATGTTTTTGTAATTTTAATTTATTTCAGAGTTATAATAGTCTTTATCATTTTAATTTTTTAATTTTTCAACCTCAAAATGACGTCATTTTAATGAATATTAAATAAAGTTGTCTAAAGTAACGTCAGAATCTTTTTTCTCTTATTTACTAAATAGAATAGTTTGATTGTTTAACAAAAAAAGATTCGCTTTTTGTTATGCCACATAATAAGAATTTTTTATTTGCATACACAAATTAAATGTGGAATCCACGCTTAAAAAAAAAAAATCAGGATTCGACATGATATGAAATTAGATTCTTGTTACAAGGAGAAACAATATTATTTCTATAACATGGCACACTTATTTCCCTTAATAAAATAGTATTAAATATTTCGATATTCTTGCATTGAGCTAATCTTCATATTAATTAACTTGATTTTTTTCAAAATAAAAAATTTGAGACGATTGGACTGATTTGAGTTTTGTGTTGAAATTGTTTTCGTGAACTTGATCTGGATTTGGTTAAGGACAAACTTGGGTTGAGAACCTTGTATCCTCGTCATACAGTTCTCAAATTAGACAATGACACGTGGTTTTATTATCCAATTTAGCCACACACTCTTAAATTACTAGTGGTGGTTAGCTAACTTTAGAATTTTAAAAGTTGTCTACCTGAGAATTTGTTTGACCAACAAGTTAGGGTTTTATTTAACCAAATGCAGGTGTGAAAATTAACAACTTTTATTTTAATAATTTTATATTTTAGAAAACAAGAGTGTGCTGTTTGAATTCATGATTATTTAATTATCGATTTAACCCAACAATTTAACTGATAAGTAATAACCACGTTAATAATTTTATATTAATATCTCTAAATGTTTGATTTCAGCAAATAATTAATTTTTCAAATAGATAATAAATTATTTTATGTAGTAAAATTTTGAAAATTAACTACTGATAAAAATAATTGAGTATTACAATCTATAATTGATTATTTAAGCTCTAATAATAAATTATTAAAGTTAATAATTGATTACTGTTTGGGATGAGAGATAATGATGCTATCTGTTTACCTAAATAATAATTATTAATTTATATAATCAATTGTAGTTGTAGACAAATTTAAAATCTTTCCAAATGTCAAATAATCAATTATTACTTTAAATAATCAATTATTTTAAAAAGTGAGAATTAAGCCCCAAGGACTCATTTTCTGAAGGGACGAGAAAGAAATAAAGCATAGAAAAGAAAAGAGGAAAGAGAGAAGTGATGATGGAACACTAAATCATCTAATCATAAAAGTTTTTATATCATCCTTCGAATTAACTAACTAATCATTTAAATTTTTGGGAGAGTTGGTTCTTATAAAAAATAAAAATAAATAAATAAGATTATTGAAGAAAAGTGAGAGAATACAATTTGTTCATGCATAGAAGTGCTTGGAAAATTAATACTTGACGAATTTAGTACTTAGTAACTTAATCAAGGATTTCTCAAAATATCCTATTACTAGGACTTAAATGGCATAATAATGTAACGAGCACATGAATTAGTAGTTGCAAAATTTCATAAATTTAGGAAGTATTGAATTTTTGGATAAACCGAATTGAATTGTTTTTATTTTTTTCAGAACTAGTTCGGAAACGGTTTGGAATTTGTTTATGTTTCAAAATCGGTTTGGGTATGCAAACCTGTTCTATACTGGTTTCGAACTAATTTTGAACCGGTTTTCTAATCAGTTCTTTTGGTTCGGTTTAATTTTTAAACTAATTTATAAAATCATTCAATTCTCAAATCTGGTTCAGAAATATGCGGTGCAATTCAGTTCAATTCAATTATTTTACACACCCCTAATTACGTAATGTGACTTCAAATGCTTATCTCTTTTATGATTTGGAATGAGAAAAGTTATATGATGAATTCATGGTTATAAATTAATATATTAATGTAATTTGCAAAATTGAACATAATTTGATTGATATGCTTCCGTCCATATATAGTGAGAAAATGAATATTGTTATGAGTGTGGCTTCATACTCAAGAGGGGGGTAATTTTATCCAAAACTAGTCGTTATAGTTGTTATGGCGCAGTGGTAATCGATTACCATAATCTGGTAATCGATTACTAACCCGGTTACAGGTTGGATATTCGACAAAAAGAACATTGTTTCGTATTTTGGGTATAACTTGAGTTATTATTAGCAGATTGTTGTGATCTTGGTCTCGTTGAAAAGATCAAAGAGATATATACAATTTATATGTAGAACAAAAGATCCAATTTCATCATCTTCGACACAAAAATTACCTGTAAGACAGAAACCCAAATTATGCAGTAAATTTTAATTTCAAATGTGTTATAACTTGCTTTCAACTACTTTTTGTGAAAGATCTTGACTTGATAAATATGTTTTGAAGTTATAAGACATGTCAATAACCTTTTCCATGGGTTTTTCAAATCTCTTTCAAGAATTTAAAGGTTATAGATTATGCAATTTGGAAAACATGTTTATTTCGAGAAAAGATTTGAGCTCATGCAATGCAATCTACCATATACCTTTACAATCATATCTAAGTCCTAAAAGTGTGTTCTAATAAGGAATTGGACTTAGAGGTGGTAATATAGGTTGAACCCGACAGGTCAACCCGCCAAAATAGGATGGGTTGAGTTATACATTTCAATCCACCAACCCACCTCAACCTGCCCCGCTTAGTTGTGGGACAAAACGGGTTGACGGTGGATTTGGGCGGGTTGGCCCGCCGGTAATTTTTTTTTTAATAATAGGTAGTATTTTATTTGTCACTAAGCTTTTGTGATATAAATTTTTTTTTATATTAGTACTCCCCTAAAAAAATAAAGAAGAAAAACTTTATTTATGACAAAGGTTATTTATATATGGAAAAAAATATCTGACTGAATATTAGTATACATTTAGGCTTGAGATTGGAAAAAAATAAAGGGATTCTAAAATAAAAATAAGTAATATTATAAAATTAATACAATATGATTTATTTTTTATTTTTTAATTATTTTTTTGGCGGGTTGACCCCCCAACCCACCACAAAACGAGGTGGGTTAAGATTTTCAACCCATATCAAAATTTCGGGTGGTGGGCCAACCCGTTTTTGGCGGGTTGGATGCGGGTCGAGACGAGCCGACCTATTTTCCCACCTCTAATTAGACTTAGCTTGTTGCATTTAATCTTGGATTTTGATTCTTCACTTGAGCTTGATGTTTTGACTTGTTGGTTTTGATCATTTTTCACCATGGTTGTAATATTTGGCTTCTCATAGATATTGTCCATGGTTTGTTATCCTTCAATATAGCCTTCTTTCTCATGGTTTTGTTCTTCAAATCCCTTCATGATCATTGTCGAAGTTTGATGTTTATTACTTTGGATTGTCATCCCAATTCTTTTGATTCATTGCTTCTTACTTTATTCTTCTTAGCTTGTTGCCATCAAAGCTCTTCTCTTTTTTGTAGTTGCCACTTTGTTATCATAAAAATATACCTTATATCTACAAATACATGGATCTTATCTAATACAAAATTTGAAAAGATTCATCTTATCTACTAAGCCTAATTGAAATATATTTGAAAATATAATAAAAGAATCGAAACTAATGCAACATCATGTATATATAGATAGAGAAACTAAAGTAATATCATGCATGGACAGAGGTAACTCTAACACTTCCCCTCAAATTAGAGAATGCAGGCAACAAATGCCCAACTTGGAAAGTATAGAATGAAAAGAATATTTTCCAATAGCCTAGGTAAAAATGTCTGCCAATGAGAATGGGAACACACATAAGTAGTGGAGATTGCGTGATCAATGTGCTTTTCCTGGACAAAGTGGCAATCTAGTTCAATATGCTTGGTTCTTCATGAAAAATGAGATTTTTAGCAAAATGCAAAGCTACTTGACTATCACAAAATAGCTTTATGGGTCAATCCTGAAACACCAAGAGAAGCTAAGAAAGATTTTAACCAAACAAGTTCTGAAGTAGTGGTGGCCATAGATCTGTGTTCAGCCTCTGCGAAAGATCTAGATACAATGACTTGCTTCTTGGTCTTCCAGGAAATAGGGGATAAGCCAATCATAACAAAGAATCCTATAATAGATCGCCAAGTGAGGGGGAAACTAACCCAATTTGAATTACAATGAGCTAAAATGTGCAAGTCATAATCAGAACAAAGAAGTAATCCTTCGCGTGTTTCCCTTTAGATATTAGAGCACCCTTGCAATGGAATCAAAATGCTCTTGTTTTGGATGATGCATAAATTGAGATAATGTATGAACAACATAACAAAGCTCGGGTCTGGTGATAGTAAGATAAATCGATCGACCTACTAAACGCAAGCATCAGCAAAAATTGGGCCATCTGTAAGAGCCAATTTATGAATTCGTTCCAAAAGGAATGTCGCAGACTTATAACCAAGAAGTCCACATTCTAAAAGAATATCAAATGTATATTTACGCTGACATAAAAATGAACCTTCTTTATTGTGCACTAATTCAATACCTTGTAAGTATTTTAATGCACCTAGATCTTTAATGTGAAAAGATGAGTTGAGATATGTCTTGACTTCCTTTAATACCTTGTAAGTACACAACGTTTGAAACGAGCCGCAAATTCGTCATTTGATTTCGGGCTAGGATATGCATAACTCAAACTACCAAAGACTCTTAGGTGGTGTTTGGTTTGGAGCTTTTCAAGAGATATCTATGTTTCTCAAGTATGGCTTTTAGAAACACCATGTTTGTTTCAACATATTTTCACCAAAAACCCATCTATGCAATTTGTATGAATTTATGAGAAACATAGATATCCGCACTGTTTAGAAACCCAATTTGAAGGTGGAATTTTTTGGAAAACCGGTTATCTCACTTTTAATGCACTGTTGATCTCATAAAGTTACCTAATTTTCCCAGTAAAGTTTTTTCCCACCAAACAACTTTTTTTTTACATTTTTCTACATATCTCATTTTATCTCACTTTCCAATCATTTCTCTATCTATTACATTTCTCTACTATTCCAAAAAATTTTCCTCAACCAAACGCCCCCTTAAATGATCATATTTAGGCTGCACATGAAAGAGAATCTCATGAGGTGTCTTTGTCATCAAGTAAACGAGTGGGTGTGCGGTTGATCAAGTGAGCTGTTTGTAAGAACACACTTCCCCCAAAATTCATGGTATGATATGCTTGAAAATGCAATGCATAAGCAATGTTTAATATGTGTCCATGCTTCTTTTCTATGCGACCATTTTGTTGTGGTGTATAGGTACAAATAATGAAGCACCAACACTTGATTTTTTCAAAAAAATGTGTCAGACACTGATACAATTTGACATATGGTCAACATTTTGGGACACGTTTATATCGACACATGATTTTGACCTGTCCAACACGGTCAAGGAGAAAAATTAATTTTTTTTATAAAATTAAAATAATTCTAAAATAAAAAATAAGCAACATCAAGTGTTGGTGAAGCATGAGGGGTTGAAACCTTGATGTGTTGCTGAAGGTTGGTAGTGACGAGGGCGTTGCAGAGGGACTGAATAGCATAGAGAATAAAAGGAGTTGAGGAGGGAACGATGGTGAGAACTTCATCGCCAACGGAGATTCCAGTGATGAGCGAGTTAATCGACGACATTTCAATCGATCCATGAAGTAGCAGTGGTATTGAAAATTTGTGCAATCATTGGTTTGCTTAACTAGTAAGGCCTTGCAGCTTCGTCATAGAGGGTGGGCAACACAATCTACATGTTATGCTAACAAACAAAAAACGCAGAGCAATGAAACAAAAGGTAAGCAATACAAATTTAATAAATAAGTCTAAGGCCCAACCGCTTAACATGGGCATATAGTGTGAGCTCATTCATCTCAACTGGGCTTGAAACTTGAAATATGAGTGGGCTAAGAATACATGGGCTTGAATGCCTTATTCTTCAATCTTTTTAAAGCATGTTTGGATTCTCTTATTTTTAAACTAGAAGCTATTTATAAGTTAAAGCTAAAAAAAAGAGCTTAAAAAAAATAAGCTAAAAGCTGTTTGAAAATTACATAAAAGTTTTAGCTTAAAAATTAATTAAAAACACATATTTCAAGAAAATTATCTCTCTCTTTCTCTTTATCATTCTTCATTTTAAAAAAAAGCACACAATTCAAGAAAAATAGATAAGAGCTTAAAAAAAAGCTTCTCCTAGGAACTTTTAGTTTTCAGCTTCTTTTTTTTTCATTATAAAAAAAAGAGCTTTTCGTTATAAGAGCTTTTCTCAAAACCTGTTTGGTCTAGCTTATGCTTATAAGTAGCTTCTAGCTTAAAAATAAGAGGATCCAAACAGACACTTAGTGTTTCACTTGTTTTAAATTATATTGAATAATCAAAAATATTTTATAAATAATATTATAAGCTCTATAATCAATATCTTTAGCACACTCATGAGCAACATGTTTATAGATAAAATTATTCAAGATATTTATTAGTTATATGACTTTTTACGAGCTTCTATACGTATTAAATGTAAATTATATTATATATATTAAAAATATTATTTAATATCAAAATATATCTCAACGTGTCAAAATTTAATATTTTTTAAAATTAATGTATCGTATTGTGTTCCATATCAGTACAACATAGGATACAAAAGCATTGATGAATAATACGAGGTTCATCGGACAAAGAAAGAGGGCTTTTGTGTCTGAACTCATTCTCATTGTCTGTTTGGAAAATTTTAATGGCTTTTCCAAATTGAGTTCGAACCAAATTAAAGAAAGTTCTAATTAGACCAGCAGCTTCACTCTTTTCAGTTATTAGATACACCCAAACACCTCAACTAAAATCATCCCCAAGGGTAAGACAGCAAATTATGTATTTTTTATATTAAATCACAAACCAGAACTCAGAGGTTTCTGGGTTTAACCGCTCTTATAATATCATTCTTGTAAATTTAAATTGTATTTGTGAGATAAAATATGTCAAATGAGATTTCATTGTGTAGATCTCGAAAAGTTATGTGAAATCAAAAAAAAAATTATCTGATTTGGATACCCGAGTCAAAAATTATGGTCTTCAGAAGTTTTACGATTAAATTATTAATTTTTTTTTTTGAAAAAAAATGTGACACGTGTCAACACCTGATGAGTAATGCCTAAATTAGGCGTGATTGCCTTTTGAGTGACGCCCAATTTAGACGTAATTGATGACGCCCAAATTGGACGTGATATTATGCAACAAATATGTAATTATTTCTAAAATTGTCATAAATTCGTAATTTTTTATTTAAAAAACAATATATCAATTTTTTTGCCTAATAATTGCAGTTAAATAATGTTAAATATATATAGTTTCATTGAAAAGAGATCCTGTTAATACATTCTTAATATCTTATTAATTATCAAGTGTCAGAGTTTAACTTGACCAAGTCACCTAATTTTTCTTTCATTTCTTAACATATACCAAACATATAATATAACAACGGTTTTAGTTTGTCCTTTAACATGATCAGAGAAATATTTTTACACACACAATATTTTGTGGGGTTCACATTTTTTAAACTAAAAAAAATAAAAATTATAGCACACAAAATAAATCTCTATAACATTACACAATCACTTTTCCTATCATATAACTGTTATAAAATCTATAACAAACACCCCGCTACCCGAGTATAAGTTCATCATATATTCTATTCCATTTTAATACGTCTGTCAAATAATATAAAATGATTTTTTTATATGAAAAGATATTGACCCACCATTATATTCGAATAAAATCAATTATTAATAAAGAGGATAAAAAAATTCTATATTAATATAAATATAAGTTGATCCTACCTTTTTCCTTTTTTAGACAAACGCAAATGCAAAGGAAATCATCTCAGCTTGCTACAATTTGAACTGTGACTTCAAAACTTCGGGGTTTAATTCGAAAGTGCAAAAGACAAAAGCCAGTTGTATTTAAAAAGAGAGAGACAAAAGCCAGTTAAAAAAATGTACCAAAAAGAAAAGAGTGAGATATTCTAACTACAAAATTTTTTACTACTAACTTACTATCATCACATTATCATTGGATCAAAGAGAGAGAATGTCAAAAATTAAAAAAGTGTTTGAAGCTAGAGAAAATATTAATCTAATGGTGATTAGATAGGTAGTAAGTTGGTAGTGAAAAATTTTGGTAGTAAAAATATCTTTCCTAAAAAAAACAAGTTAAAAAAGAAAAAAAGAACCAAAAAAAGAAAAAAAGAAAAAAAAGAAAAAGAAAAAGATACAGTGAGGTAAAACCGCGAAGGAAGCAACAGAGTTGTTTTTGACAGCCTTGTTTGTGATTGGGACACCGTTCCTCTTTCCCTCCGTCACCATCGCATAAACCCCAACCATACGGTGCCGTTTTCTTTTCCTCTGTCGTTTCGTTCTTTCTCTCTCTCTCTCTCTCTCTCTCTCTATCTGTAGCTCCCGATGCGTTTCTCTATCCAATTCAGCGTTGTTGTCGTTGTGCTCTGCTCTCCGATTCTTTGAGTCAACGCTTCGATTTTGCATCTTCTTACTGTCGTTTCGTCGATTCATACAAGCGCCCTATTCACGTGGTTTCTTGCGTTATTCCCTCAGGTATACCTACTTCCTTTTCAAATTTCTTTTAATTCATCCTTAAATTCAAAGAAAGACACGCAGATGGTGATATAAAATTGCAAACTGAAATTTACTTGAAAGAAATCATGTATTGAATTTATTTATTTTTTAATTTTTTTTTTTTTTTTTTTAGGTTTTTATCACTGTAAAACATTTGTTAAATTATTTTCTTGGTTCTGCAGGTTGGGGGTAGATATTTATGAACTTTAATTGGTGTTGTTTCATCAATAATTAAATCATGTGCAGAAATTCGGTAATGTGCCTTTCTCTTGTTGCAAGCAACCATATGTCTCTATGTTCAATTATGATTTTTTTTTTTTTTTTTTTAAATTTCCAGTTATGGCAATAAACATGTTTTTTCTGTGCACTGGCAACATTAATCATTTCTAAGTTGTTAATGTATACGTGTGTGTGTGTGTATTAAAGGTGGTGACTATGGCTTTGGAAATAAATAGTGCTTTTTAACAGAATGTCAATGTAAGTAGCTGACTTTGCCGCATCCCGTGGTGCCAAGTAACTAACCGGTTTACAAGTGCAAGGAGAAGCAATTGTTTTCAGTCACACCTCAGAAATTTGTATTTAAAGGTTATATATATGTTTTTTTGTTTTTGTTTTTGGGATTCTATGCTTCATTGGCAATCAGTTGTGTTGGTGGTGGGGTTAGATGGACGTTCTCTCACTAGTACTGTATCTTGAAGGTCCAAAAGACACTTACCCGTTGTTGATGGAGCGGCCAGGGAGCTTCAATGGCAGTCAGCATATCATAGAAATAGCTGGGAGTACTGATGCTTCCACGCCTGCCTCGCCGCATGATAGACATTTTAATGGTGTAGATGCATCGCAGCATGAAGACAGAATTAGTAGTGCAAGAATACCTGTTTCCACCTCGAGTATATCTAATGGATCAAATACTAGGAATTCTTCGTTCATCAGACGAGGGGATACTCGTCGGAATAGGAGTCCTGTGCATTCTGGGTTATGGATATCTATTGAGCTAGTTCTCTTAGTAAGCCAGATTGTTGCATCTATAGTTGTTTTGTCTTTGTCAAGGCATGAGCATCCACGTGCCCCATTGTTTCATTGGATTGTGGGTTATGCTTCTGGATGTGCTGCTACCCTCCCTCTGCTTTATTGGCGGTATTATCATCATAACCATATGCGAGAGCAAGATTCATCTCAATCGCGTCAAACATCTCCTCGGGTTAATGATCCTTCCGGGACACTTCTTTCCAGTTCCAGAACTAATGGAGTTGAAGTTGGTCAGGCTGCTGCTCCATCCTCCAGAAGCATTCAAGCTTCAGTATTGATGAATAGAAGGTAGTGAATTAGTTACTATTATTGTTAATTAGTTATGCTTTTTTTCAATGTTAGAATCACAATTTTTATTTTTATTTACATTTTTTAAGTTTGAACCACAACTTTTAGATGCCATTTCAACTCCTTGTTATCTTGCTCGAAAGGTAAATATTGGTCTTTAAATGTTTGTAGCTAGCAGGCTTACTTTGCTTAGATGATGTTTCTCTTTTTCTTCTTCTCGTTTTTGTGGCATTTTGGATTATTTCAACGGGATACGTTATCTTTTGATCTTCTACTTATTTCTTTTTCTTCTCTAATCATATTTCCTCTTTTATTCACATAAAATGAAAGGAATGATGTAAATTAATTGCTTTTGGTCACAACTTTTGAGCAACATATTTGTCTTCTCCAATTTGTTTTGAAGTTTTGGTTACTCTTTGTTCTTTATCATGAGTTGGAAATGAGCAAAACTTGTGCTTGACCTGTCTGAATCAAATGGTCAATTTGGTCAACCATCTCATGACTTTCATATATGATAATCAGGGTAATATGTGCTCCCTCTGTTTTAGTTTTAGGACTGTTCTATTTCTTTTCCCTGCTCTGATATGTGGTAATGATTGCTCAAAATTGTTACGAGATGGATAATCTATGAGTGCATGTAGTAATTAAGGCATCCCACCAATTATAAAGGCCTAGGAAAGAATATCCAACTAAGGCAGCACACCAACAGAATCAATGAAATGGCCACATTAGCTTAAAGGGTAAATCAACTCTGAAGAGAAAATTTCTTTTCAGATAACTTTCTAGCTCTAGAAAATTGTTTTGATTGCATTCCAAACTGATAAATCCATCAAGTGGTCAGGAGCGGCCTTTATAGCAACCATCCTGTTATTAGCACCACACTCCCAGATAAACATTTGTGCTATCATGGAGCTGGCAATGATAGACAAAATTGAAGTACTTGGTGCAGTTATCTTGGTAGTGAAGGAATATGTAGAATTGGCTGAATGGCCATTCCTGTTTCATGAGGAATAGTACCCTGCACTGTCTATGCCAAGCTGAAAGCTCCAAATCAGAGTTATGGATGATCAGAGCTACTCACTTGCTTTTAGTAAACTGGTTAACAGCTTGTTTTGGGATTAGGACTTGGTGATGTTGTGTTCTTGTGTAGTTACCAGATAGCATTTCTTTATACCATTATATGTTTCTTAAAAATCTAAAAATATTACTTTTATAGTTCTTAACTGAAAGTCTGGGAATATACATGTGAAACTAGTTGAAGGGGGTATTCTATATGGCGATTCCTCTCTTAAACTGCTCACAACAGGTGAAGCATGGTGGGTTTTGGGGCATAATTTTCAAAAGGTGATTTAGGATCTGATATTTAGAATCATATAGCAAAGAGTTGAGCCAGAACTCTTCCAAAGTTATGGTTGGTTTTCTTGTTCCTCCAAAAATAGCACCTCTTTATTATTCATTGATAAGGATGAAAGTTCTAATGTGAATTCATCAGAGCTTAATAATTCTTTAGCACTCTTTATTATTGTTGAAAACTGGTTTCAGAGCCTAGGATAAAATCAGAAATTTGAAAATTGAACTTAGGATATATAAAATTTTTGAACATTTTAGTCCTCAAATTCTGGCTTTTAGCCTCCAAGGGCCTTGTTTAGGATATTATTTTCTTCCCTTACTCTTCTAGTAACCAAACCAAATTAATAAGAAGTATTACAAAGTGCTCTTGCCATGCCAACCAAACTATGAAAATGATGGATTGCTTTGAACTATTGCTTTGTTTCTCTGATGCAGAATGGAGAAACATATTTTAGGATTATTGTGTTATTCAGATATTATCATGTTATTCTTAGAAATATTAGAATTTCCTCTTATTTAAGAAGTCTTTCATTATTATTAATAATATGTGGGAAAATATTATTATGTTAAGATTTCCTATTTAATTTGATTTGAGTAGGATTTCATATTTTAGGAAATTAATATTTGATATAATTTTAAATTTAATTTAGATATGTCTAGGATTTTTATTATCTTTGGGTTATAAATACCCTTTTGGTACTTTTTGTTATTCACACCTTTTAGCATAATTATAATATTGAGATTTCCTTTTCTCCTAGTTAGAGGAGTAATTTTCCCTAGAGGTGTTCTTGCCAGAGGAGTACTTTAGGTTTACTAGAGTATAATGTAATCTGATGGATAGTAAGGTTTATTTATTATCAATGGTGATGTGGCATGTCATATAGTCAGTTCAGTTCTGTTGTATCTGTTACGTGCGGTTGTAACTGATCATCTGATTGTATAGATGTGAGCTTGTAGGTTAAGCATTATACTTATCTTCTATATATATCAGATCTGAAGTTTAGATCTGATAGATATAACAAAGTTACAGTTCTGAAGTTTTTAATTTTCTCTCAGATTCTCTTACTTTGTTTAATTTTCTTTAGCTGTTCTTCAATTCTTTTAAGGTTTATCGTTCTACATCATCCTCACTTTGATCATTGTCTAAGTTTGGCTGTAAAACACATTAATGTACAATCATCCTTCAATATCCCTTAATGTACTGATAACTCGTGATGCAAATTAGGTCTTGTACTGGTTTGCATTGTTTCACTGTTTTTGTTGCAATCAGTATTTTGAATTTTGCTATTGAATGTCGTGAATACAATTGTATCTAATTGCTTCTTTAATCTTTAGAATTATATTAAGTTATTGTTCATCTATATTTAGAATTATACAAAGGTTGAATGATACACACATGCTGGCACACATCAGCACATGTATATAAAATGTTATTCTAGGTATATATAAGCATCCAGCCTGCTTCCCCGCATAATACAAGCCATGGTATATTCAGTGATAGTAACTTCCAGTTAACTTTTAAGTTTCATGAATGCATACCAAGTTATATTTCACTCCTTTTTTTTTTTTTTGTAATCATAATGGAGGTTATGCTATGTCAAGAAAATCTGAAGTATTAAAGAATGTAGCACTCTAATCTGTAATAAAGGTGTGATACAGATTACAGGCTAAAAAACTCTTGAGATTGAACTTATCAGTAATAATTATAGAAGAAATTAAGGTTGTTTTTAGGAAACTGTTATGAAGGAAAGTAGGAAACAGCCAAGTGTAATATTTAATGTTCTTTTCTTTATGTCATGCTTACTGTCTTGTTCTTCCCTCACTCCAATTCCTGTTTATTCATTAAAATTTGAAATTTTAACTTATAGTTTCATGGTTATAACTTCTAAACATTGTAATTTGTGAAGCTGTTAAGCCCTTGTTCATTCTTGCACTGCAGAATGAAGACACTAGTGGAGTACTTCAAAATATCTTTAGATTGCTTTTTTGCTGTATGGTTTGTTGTGGGAAATGTATGGATCTTTGGGGGACATTCGACTGTTGATGAAGCTCCTAACTTGTACAGGTATAGCCTTTCTTGCGCTCTTGCATTTAATCTTCTGGTTTTTCAGAGGCTTCAGATTATAAATGCTTCCTTTTGCTTGGCAGGTTATGTATAGTGTTTCTTGCATTTAGCTGTATTGGTTATGCTATGCCCTTCATTCTGTGTTCAACAATCTGCTGTTGTCTCCCTTGTATAATTTCCATCCTTGGGGTTAGAGAGGATCAGACACAAAACAGAGGGGCAACTTCTGAATCCATTAATGCTCTGCCAACTTACAAGTTCAAGATGAAGAAAAATAAAAGAAGTGGTGAAAGCAATTCAGCTGCTGCCGAAGGTGGAATTGTGGCCGCAGGAACTGAAAAAGAGCGTGTGATCTCCGGGGAAGATGCGGTAATTACATTTTTATTCAGGATACTTATTAAAAATTCATAACATCGTGGCACTTTTTGTCTAGTTACATGATGTCCTGTTATGTAAAGGATTATCTTCTTATGAAATGGTGTATATCTAATCAAACTTCTATCTCTTTGGGCTTTGGAGGAGCAACTTTAGGCTTGTAGGTTATATTTTACATGCCTGTTTAAATTCATTATTTTGTAGCTTCTGGAGAATGGATAGCTGCCATATCTTACAAACTTTTTTCAGCCATAGTATCTTAAAAATTTCATAATTTTCACTCATAAATGTAGCATCCATGCCATCAGGTAATAGAAGTTGGTGTGGTGCTGTTTTTGAATTAGATTATTATTTAAGTTATCCTTCTGAATCTCTCATTGATAATGTTAAAAGATCCTGCATTACAGTATGTCTTTCTCGTTGTAACCAGGACGTTGATTGTGTTTTGTGTCTGTTTGCTGGCTGTGACTGGGAATGTTGGTACTTTTTGTGGTTAATGCAGGTTTGCTGCATCTGTCTGGCAAAGTATGAAAATAATGATGAGCTAAGAGAATTGCCTTGTTCTCATCTTTTCCACAAAGACTGCGTAGATAAGTGGTTGAAGATAAATTCATTATGCCCTCTTTGCAAGAGTGAGGTTGGTGAGAACTTGACAGGATCCATCTCTGGAGAAGATGCCAGCCAACAACGAGGTGACATCAGGGTTGGGAACGGCCTCACCAATACCACAGTTTAGTCTAGTAATATACAATTTGAATCCTCTCTTTTTCCTTAAGAACTGAATAATCTCCTCTTATGAGTGACGAGAGAGAAAGAACAAACTGGCCTATTTATAAAACCCCTGCACAGGTAATACTTTGTCCCTCCACAATAAATTGTGTTTTCTTCTCTCATAACAGGACATTCATGTTCTTAAGGAAAAGGAAATAATCCAAAGTCTCTTATATACATATGTACACTCGTAGTTTTGTAAAGTTTTTTCTATGCAGTCCACTCTTTTTACATGGATGAATGTTTGATTAAATTCATCCATTCCATAACATTTTTGATGATATATTTTCTTTTTCTTGTTGGAGCTGTAAGTTGGTCAATACAAGGCATTGCCTTCTATAGTCTACTTGTGATGTAGCTAATTGTTCAAGGGACGCTTAGCCCTGCCATAAGCTGTATGGTTTGGGCTGTGGGAGTTAAAACTAGTCTTATTAAACTTGGATTGGACTCGCTTGTTCAACCATTGAACTAGTTACCTAACCGAACCGCTTAGGTAATGGTTCTAAATAGCACAATAAATCAGTCAAGCTCAAGAACTGGTGTGGCTTGATTTGACTCGTCTAGTTCATAGAAAACCTGACATGTCATGCATTTTTTTAAAAGAAAAACATCGTCATTTTTATATAATGGAAAAAGAGAAGAAAAATAAGATAACAGGACGAAGTCAGCCGAGGCAGAGCCTGCAAAGGCCTAGCTCTGATGATCTGAAGAGGAGAGCTGAACTTGAAGAGCAGAGGCAGATGGCATCCCATTTGTCTGTCCAGATCCTTTTGTCATTTGTTCGTGGCAACTCCGGTTTATGTTCATCGGTCTAAGCATCCAGGTTGAGTAAAGGGTTTTATGATTTCTTTGTGTAACTTGCTCCTCGTGATTTGCATTTCTAATCAGCCATTGACATCAGTGCAACTCAATGCTTAATGTTGCACACTATCCCTGTTGATTTTTTAATTTCTGATCGCATGATGGTGTGATGTATCTTCCATAAGAACAATGAATAATTATTTTTCATTCTACTTATTGGAAAAGTTGGTTGAATCATTCATGGCGTATGCATACTTGAGGTCTTTCCAATGCTGGAATCTGAAAAGCATTATGATTTATTTGATGTTGTCTGAACTGGTTCAATGTTGATGTCCAAGAATTTTACTAAAATGGTATTTTTCCCCATTGTTTATAGCTGTAAGATGCAATTTAAATTTTTTAGCTTTATTGCAGCCTTACAGCACATTAGTCTGATCTTTTGACGATGTACCACAATTTAGCAGATAATGTGTGGATTTATAAGTGAGCCAATATTTTTATCGGAACCTGAATGTTTGCCGTAACACTATTCGAAAGATATTGGGATGTGATTGTAGAAACACTTATATCCTATTGCCTTTAAAATCCTTGATTGGTTCTATCTGATCCTATTTAGGATACAAAGCTTTATATGATACGTCTTCCCATGCTGACCTTGTCATGTATTCTGTATTGGTGAATTTGTTTTATTCAGGAAAATTGCTTGCTTGTATGATTTTGTTTATATAGTTTTCTTGTTGAAAGGATTTTACTTAAAAGTTAATTGTATGTCCATATTCTTTATGAGAGAAGAAGGTTTTCATAAGAGGAGATCTAAATGGTCATATTGATAAAAGTGGTGGAGGTTTTGATAGAATTATGGAGGTTATGGTTATGGAACGAGAAATGAGGCTGAAGAAGATATCTTGAATGTCGCACATACTTATGATTTGATGCTAGCGAATACATTTTTTTGAAAAAGGGAATCTATCTAATCACATATAGTGGCCAAAATCATAGCCAAATTGATTTCTTTCTAGCTAGAAGAAAGATAGAACCTCATGTGTTGATTGTAAGATTTATCCCGGAGAATGTGTCATTATGCAATTTAAGCTGGTAGTTCTAAAGGCTCGGTTAAACAAGTACATAAAATACAGAAAAGTGCTCAGAACCTAAGAATAAGATGGTGGAAGTTAAAAGAGGAAAAATATATAGAGTTCAAGGAAAGAATGCTTCATGAACGATCATGGGAGTTTGATGGAGGAGCAAATGAAATGTGGAATGAGATGACTATATGTATCCAAAATGTGGTAAGGAGGGTGTTAGAAGGTAAAGGGAATGGATTTCAAACAAAGTAAAAATGGTGGTGGAATAAAGAGGTGCATGAGGCAATTAAACAAAAGAAGGAATGCTTTAGATGTTTACATAAAAGTCCGAATGATGAGAACTTGTAAAAGTTTAGATTGGCTAGAAAAAATGTTAAGAAAACAGTGTGAGAAGCTAGAGGCAAGATTTTCACCAGTTTGTATAAAAATCTTGGGAGCAAGTGTAGTGAAAAAAGAATATATAAACTTGCAAAATTGAGAAATAAGAAAAGTAAAGACCTCACCCAGGTTAGATGTGTAATCCGAAGTAGGGATGCCAAACAAACTAATTGATCAGAGTTGAGAAAATAAAAATTGTTGCTATAAAAATGACTAGATCATATCAGAGTTCGAAGTCCAAATCTCCATCTAATGTCAAAGTCTTTTATTTGGACTGTGGTGCTTGATAGAATTAATACGAATAATGTGTTTCAGGTTTGTAAGCCGCATTTAAAATAATAATTTTTTTTTTCATACATGAGGAATAATAATTATAAGGGGGACAAACTTATATAACATTATTTTTTATAGGGAAAAATATGTTCTTATAAAGGACACGAAGAAGTGTGAGTCCTACTAAAAAGGACATTTAAAATAACTAGTTATGTCATTTCAAATGACACACATTTCTCCCTTTTTTATAAGCTTGAATGTAGTTTAAAACAAATGTTTAATGAATTTAATAGGCTAATCGTCCTTTCTACAACTCCACCACTTCTATAGGTGCGGTATCATTTCCTGGAACTCGTAACATTAATATCATATTAATTTATTTTTTTTAAAGATTATGAATAAATCATAATTAAAAGAAAAATAATAAATAAAAAAATAATACAATATTTTTTTTACATTTTAAACCAGTTTAAAATGTGAAATTAATATATAGAATCTAATCATCTAGAAGTCCTCCTACACTAGTTGTATGGATGCAAGTATTACATGTGTTCGATCCTTTGTTGGATAATGACGTGTAATTTATTATTTTTATATTAAAATATTTAGAATTGGTATTATTTTTTAAGCAAATATTTTTTTTGGTCCTCAGAAAAAAACACATAATCTATTTTAATCCTTAGAAAATAAAAAGTCTGAAGTACAAATCTAACCTATTAGTTGAATGGGTCTCCTGTCAACTTAAATTTTATAATCTGAAGTAGGGCTGGCAAACAAACTAATTGATAAGAGCTCAGACAATAAAAAGGACTAGATCAAATCAGAGTTCGAAGTCCAAATTTCCCTCTAATGTCAAAGTCTTTTATTTGGACTGTGGTGCTTAATAGAATTAGGGAAATATAAGAATCATATTGCAGGAATGACACTGTTCATTCCTGCAACACGGCGTCTGACTTTAGTCTGACTTTTTTTTTTAAGCGTGGGACCCACACTTGATTTGTGTGTGTAGGAAAGTGCTCTTGTCATGTCAAATGACAAAAAGGGAACCCATAGAATTAATATGAATGATGTGTTTCAGGTTTATAAGCGGCGTAAGGCTTTTTGCCCTAATATGCATGTAATGTGTGGCGTTTGCTTAAAATATGTTCCTCACCTGCACTGATATTGTTTTGCTGTGGTTTCTTTAATTTTTTTTTCTTGGTTGTTTTACTTTTTGTTCTTTTGTTTAGTATACAAACAAATACATCATCTTTTTAAGGCAGAGATCCTTTCGTAATTCACAATGCCTGGCACCGTGAGCAACCTAATTGGTGTCGACAATGGAAACCTGGAGATGCCTTTAACACTGGCGAACAAGATTTCAATCGAGTGGAGTTCAACACTGATGCTCAAATTTGCAAAGGTGGAAGCATGCATTGGACTAGTAATAATAGGGCTAAAAATGCATTGAACAACTCAAGTACAGGAACTCAGAAATTCGGGAAAGGCCAAGTTTAACATTGGAAACATCGATGAATATGTTTTTGACAACGAATAAATCTTTGGTACTACTGTTGTATTAAAGATTCAGTACATTCCACCAATAAAAATATTACATGCTAGTTATTTTTTTTTTTTCTTTTTCTGTCAGATTTTTTTCTCTATGATGTGCAATGCTCTCACTAATGAGATGTACTGAATCTAGGTACGACAGTAGTACCAAAGATTTATTACCTCTCCCTGACGAACAAGATTTTGATGTGCAAGTTGGCAAAGGGGGAATTAAACATTAGGTGGAGGAACTCAGGAATTCGGAACGGCCAAGATTAACACTGATGTTCTAGCAAACGTAATGTTCTCATAATTATGAAACTGGAGCTAGACACTAAAAAAAAGGGATTTTACTGGAGGTTATTTAGTGGTTTATAGAAAAATTGCAATTTTTTTTCAAACAATTTTAGTAATTTGTTGGCGGCTTTAGATTGCCATAGATATTTTGTATTTTTTTTTTTTTAATTTTCTACTGTTTGAAAACACCACTATCCTCTACGATCCTCTTCCACTGTAGAACTACTGCATTCATGTTTCTTTTCACCATTTTCGTTCAACCATTCAAGAATTTCTTCATACTGATCCTCCCAGCGATTGAGGCAACCTAGTCATTTTAAATAATACAAATTTAATTTGTGTTATTTCAAGTGAAATTAATGTATTTTGGTGGTTTATTTATTTATTTTTTCTCCACAATATTATGACTTTTTCTCTTCTTCTAATTTTGTGAGGAGAAAAATATAAAAAATTATTAAATATGCATCAAAATATAATAATTTCATTTTAAATGACATAAATGTTTATCTTTTAAAAAAATAAATATATTTTTCAAAAATTATTAGAGAAACTAACGAATACTGATTATTGAAAAAGAAAAAAAAATTATTGAGAGATTAAAATTGAAACTACAGTAAATAGAAATAGTATGTAAGTCATGACTCATGATTCTCTGATTAAAAATACTAATCGTTATCTTTGCAAACTATTTTTGTTTACAGCTTTTTACAATTATGTTTTAACACTGTTAATTTTCGTCGATCAACGGTTATTATTTTTTCAAATTAAATTTATTAATTAATTATTAATTCATAATAAATAATAATTATTGATTGACGATAATCAATGGTTAAGATATGATTATGATTGTAAGATATTGTAAACGAAAATAACGATTAAAAATTCAAATAAATAAAAACGGTAGTTCATATTAAAGACGAATCCAATGCAATTTCAGAAAAGAAAGAGAAAAAAGCAATGCAACGATGCGTTTAAACCCCGAGAGGTAAAAGTACTTTTGTTTTAAGTATTTTGCTTCAGTTATCGAGTTGTTCGTGCATCTTGTTAGTTAGGTTTTGCATTTCTCTTTCATTCACACTCACATGCATTCTCTGCAATTTTCTTTTATATAAATATTATGGATGCCACAGAATATGGCGATTCCTCCACAGTTCCGTTTCGCAAACGCGAAATATATAGCGATAAATGAGGTACGGTTTTTGTGTGTGTGTGTGTGTGTGTGTGTATTCTACAGATTAGTTAGTTTGTTCGTTGTTCTCTAATTCTATGATATAATTGATTTTCCCTCTTATTACTTCATATAAACTCTCTTTTTTGAATAATTTTTTTAATGAAAATACCTCAACAGTTTGGTTAGTCATATGAAGTAACTCTGGCAGATGTTCACTTTGATTTTATTCAATAACTCGTTAATGTTAGTGTTATTTACTTATTTTACTTCAACTCAACGGTGCTTTGGGTTGCTCTTCATGATTGTTTACACTATAATCATCCTTATTTTCAGTTAAAATGGTTATTATGGACCATATGATTGGTATATATGTTGATTATCAAGCTCGGAACCTGTTATGAGGTGCTTCAGGTTAAAACATTAATTTTGGTTCACCTTTCAGTTGTATTCTTGTGGTTAATGCTACTGGTTGAGAATGCTATTGGAGCACGTTGTGAACAAGGTTGATTCATAGGAAGGGACTTGGAAATGGGACACCTTGGCCCTGTATCCGGTGATCCTCTGTTGCACCAACAGGCTACCTCAAATGATCATGTTGAATTAATGAGAGCCGTGCCTGGAAATCCTGGGTCTCAGGGATTGCCGGTGTCAATCATTCATAGTGGACGGGTAGAAGCACATATGAGTAATTTGCGCATGCATCAGCTTTTGGTGCCTGACAACCAGTCCGTGCAAATGGGGACAATGCCGAACAGTATGGGGTCAAAGCAGCTGCCAACAACGCCAAAGCGGAAGGCACCATTGGAACAATTGCCCTATAGCTCTGCGGGATCTAACAAGCGGGTTGCTCAAGTGGAACAAAGGCCTTGGTTGCAGCAAGCATCTGATACATCAAATAGTGGTTCTCCGCAGATGCAATTCCTGTCAACTGCTTCCAGACCACAGCATTTGGCTATGTCTGGTAAGAGAAAAACACTGATGGAATCCACTTCCAGTAAACCTGGGACACCTCGGTCGTTGAATTCTAAAGGTCAGAATGCACAGATGCAACCATCTCCCAAGGCTCAAACTGAATCATCTGAAAGTGTTAGGTCGAAGATGAGGGAGTCATTAGCTGCTGCTTTGGCCTTGGTTTCTCAGCAGGACAAACCTCTGGTTGCGAGCAATATTACATCAAATGAGGCTGGTAATACTCAGGGTAAATTAGTGAACAGTTCAGCTGCTACTGGTGCTTCTCCAGGGGAAAGGAAAGAGATTTATAAATCTGTTGATTCCTCTTTTGCTGCCGTGGATTTAGTTGATCATGTGCCCGAAGAGCACAGAATGAGTTCAGCCTCTAATGAAGATCATTCTGAAAAATGCAAGAACTCTGAATCAGGATCCACAAATATGTCTAATAATGAAAATATACTGAATCCTATGCAAGTCTTGAACTGTGATAAGCAAGACTTCGAGGCAAGTTACACTTTGACCACTGATGATGTTCCTTTTAGTGAAAGTTTCTTCATCAAGGACGAACTTATGCAGGGAAACAGTCTTTCCTGGGTATTGGAATCTGATATGGTGGACATGTCAAATCAAAACGAGAATCAAAGTAATATAGAGCATAGATTGGAACCTGATGAAGCAGTTGAAGGTTGTAAGGAGGCAGTGCATTCACCCGAAGTTTTGGCAGCAAGGATAGAAGCAAAACTCTGCAAACTGTTTGGAGGTGTGAATAAGAAGTACAAAGAGAAGGGGAGGTCTCTTTTGTTTAATTTGAAAGATCGCAATAATCCTGAACTAAGAGAAAGGGTTATGTCTGGTGAAATTCTCCCAGAAAGATTATGTTCTATGACTGCAGAGGAACTTGCATCGAAGGAGCTTTCTGAGTGGCGGATAGCCAAGGCTGAGGAGCTCTCTCAAATGGTGTTTTTGCCTGATTCTGATGTTGATATTAGACGTTTGGTCAGGAAAACACATAAAGGTGAATTTCAAGTAGAAGTTGAACATGAAGACAATGTTTCAGTGGAGGTTTCTGGTGGCACAGATGCAGCTAGTGGGAGCCAAGCAAATAGAAAGTATGTGGAAGCCCCTCCTCCTAAACCTGATGTGATCAAAGATGATGCAAACAGTGATGATGAAAAGAGCAAATTAGAGAAGGATACGCCATTGGGTGTTACCATCCCTTCCAATGATGGTACTGATCCAATGCAAGGGCTTATGACAGATGATGCATTGAAGGAAGCTGACTTTCTTCCACCAATTGTCTCTCTTGATCAGTTCATGGAATCTCTTCATTCTGAGCCTCCATTTGAAAATATACTAATGCAATCTGGAAAAGGGACAGCTATGTCAGAAAAGGATGATTCTGAGGTTGGATCTCAATCAAAGTCTTCTGTTTTAAATCCAGTTGAGCTGCTTGGTGGTATCCCTGATAAGCATGAGAAGGTGCATGACACATGTGCCAATCTGGATGCTGAACTGGATAAAGGGTTAAATGCAGAATCTACGGCCATTTCTTCTGATACAAGATGTGGTGAGAGTCATGCTGACATGAAGCAGACTGATGGTCGTAGTGAAGAAAGGTCAACTGATGACATGAAGTCTACTTCCAGGCATGCCGAATTGAGCGCCAGTCAGTTTCATGCAGAAGAGAGATATGCTGGTAGTCATGCGTATTCCAAAACTGCAGTCTCCACTAGTATGTCTGAGGGTGAATGCATCTGGGAAGGAATGCTTCAGCTGAATATCTCCACCACTCATTCTGTAATAAGCATCTTTAAAAGGTAGTCTACTAATTGTTTGAGTGCATCTTTATTATAAGTTGCTAGTTTTAGTGAACTTTTATGGATGAATGTTTTCATTTCTCCATTTGCTTTTTGTCTACTATATTTTGGAGTGAGGAGCATGAAATGAATATTGTGTCTCATATTAAGACAAATTAAATTAATATCTATCAAATAAATTTCTCAATGGTATGAGTATGTAATGAAAAAACAGGTCTCACGATATTTGTCTACATGCGAATTGATCCCCACTTTATAAGGAATGTGATTTTCTTTCTCACAGGTCATCTTGTAAAAATTTGAATGGAGATTTTTGTTGGTCGGAGACATTTTGTTTATGTTATGTCATATATTTATGAATAAGTATTGCAGTGTAACTATGGATGCAATCAGGCTAGGAAGCATTTGTAGTGTCACTTTCAGTATCATTCTTTCTTCACAGGATTTATAATTGCTTTAGGATTAGGATTCCATGAACAGGGTATTCACTTCTTTGCTATCTCATTATGTCATCAATTAGGCTGATTTTGTATTGCTTATTAAGGTGTAGTTCTACTAAGTCCCCCTTTCCTGCTGGGATGCTACTTTTAAAGTAGTATGCATGTGCTATTTTAACTGCTTAGATTTAGTTTGTTTTAGTGATATCTGATGATGCATTAACCCTAACAAACTCACTTCTAGTTCTAGACTATTATTATATTTGTTATTCACTACAAAAAAGCAGGCATTTTGCAGCGGTTCATTTTTTATATACGCGATGGTTACAACAGCCAGTAAATATTTAGCGGCAGTTGTAACTGTTGCGCATACCAAAAATGAACTGCCGCGAAATGCCTGTTTTTTTGTAGCGATTGCTGCTATCTTCTTTCCTAATAATAGCTTTAGTGAGTACGCATGTTAATTATATAGTGGATAGTGTTGGTGTTATTACAATTTTTTTAATGTATCCTGATGGCTCTTGGGTTGATACAAACATTCTAAAATGCATAGCTCTTCAATGTCGTTTTCCAATTGTCTTGAAAAGGATGAAGAATGTGGTCATTAGAGTTGGATGGATTGTTTTGCTTTTTCCTCTTCCTGCTCCCACCCATCCTCTTTTTTGGGTCAGGGAGGGTTGGGGGATGAAATTGCTTGTGTTGTGCTGTGAGGTCCTAGTCTACATTATTTTTAACTGATTCTTATTGAAGTCAGATACTTTCTGATATACTTTTTGAAGAGCATTGATTTTTTTTTTTTTTTTGTGCTTCCTTCTGATCTAATATTATTTTTGCAGTGGTGAGAGAACTTCTGTAAAATACTGGCCTGGGTTTCTTGAGATCAAGGGAAGAGTTCGAATTGATGCGTTTGAGAAGTTTTTGCAAGAGCTTCGACTGTCCAAAAGACGTGCTATCATGGTATCTAAAGTTTCTTTTGTTGTACCAGACTCTATCTTGTCTGTTTATATCAGCATCCTTGCAGAAAGGAAATATAAAAAATAAAGAGGAGCTTATGTTGCATTTTGATGCTATATTTTAGCTTATATTTGTAATATGCTAGGAGAGGAGGTACCCAAGAAAGATGCGTTTAGATATCAGGGATCAATCTTGCAAAGGGGGGAGAGATTGATGAGGATGTAAGCCATAGAATCATTACGGGTTGGATGAAATGACACATTACATTGGGATTTTTGTATAATCGTAAAATCCCTCTTAGGCTGAAAGGAAAATCTTATAGAATAGCACTAAAACTTACAATGCTACACAGAGTTGAATGTTAGGCAGCAAAGAAACAACATGAGCATAAAATCAGAGTACCGGAAATGAGAATGCTAAGGTGGATGTGGCCATACAAGGATGGATAAGATAAGTAATGAAGTTATTTGACAAAAAGTTGGAGCAATATCATTGAAAGAAAATATGAAAGAACATAGATTGAGATTATTTGGGCATGTTCGGCTAGAACTTACTAGGGTGGGGGGATTTTAAACAAAATTTAACGGAGTAGGAAATAGATTGACGTGCTATTCGTTATGAGACAGAGTAGAGGAAAGCTATTAGCATTGTGGGGGTGTACAATTTGTGCTATTAACTTTTTCTTTTTCTTCTTCACCTCCTCTCTAAAATTAATTTTAATTTTTTAATTTTCTATTATTTATTTATTTAATTTTTATGTATTATATATATATATATATATATATATATATATATATATATCTCTTTGCAAAAATACAAGGGTAAGACTGTATGCAATTGACCTTCATCCCTACCTCTCGTAAGTCGAGGAGTTTTGTGTATTTGGTTTGCCCTTTGCCCTATTTTATATATATATATATATATATATATATATATATATTTAAAGTCTATCATCTTTAGTTATTTATTTATTTTTTGCCTTACTTCATTTGTTTTCTTTTGTTGAGATAAAAGAGGCAATGAAGTGGTTGGTCGTTGTGCGTGAGGGTGAATGTGACAACTGATACTTTGTTTTAGGGCTGACATAAGTTGTGAAAGAACAAAATATATTTGTTAGGGAGATTCATTACGTACATAATTTGTGGGGTTAGCTTCAATGAGACGTATGAAGTCATTAGGATGTTGCAACAGAACATAGATGCGTGTGGTTGACTTGTTTGAATCTGCTGCTGTACCGAAGCCACTTGCTGTGTGATGCTAATATTATGTATTCTGAAGGAAATTTGTGCAACTGATGAAACTTGTTTCTCTGGTTAGCTTCTTTTTGGGTTATGTATAATTAAGGAGTTTCCTTGTATTGCAGGTTTTGCACTTTGTTTCGAAGGGGTCATCCCCCAACAATGATCACTCAACTCTCCGTGAGGTAATGATTTCAGATTCTAATTCTTTCTTATAGCTACTTTTTCGGTTGTCGGTTGTTTTTCCCCCCATATATATGTATATATATATATTTTAGATATTTTTGCACACAGGTGGCTGATTCATACATTTCAGATGAGAGAGTGGGATTTGCTGAGCCTGTACCTGGAACTGAACTTTACTTTTGCCCACCTCATCAGATAACAATTGAAATGCTCAGCAAGATACTTCCAAAGGAACAGATTGAGGCAGTTAATGCTATTGATTATGGTCTAATTGGTATTATTGTATGGAGAAAGACTCATTTAACTTCAACTATATCAGCTACCTCTTCTTCACACCAAAAATACAGCTCTAAAAAACAATACTTATTCACTAGGAAACAGCAAGATACAAATATGAATGCCAATCCCACACCAAAAGCAGTGCCTTCTAGGGGCTCTGCAGCCACTATCACTGGACTCTCATCTGATGAAGATGATGATATTCCTCCAGGATTTGGGCCAGTAGTGGCCCAAGATGAGGATGACCTCCCGGAGTTCAAGTTCTCCGACGGTTCGAATCCATCATCACACTTGATCCACAAATCTATGGGTCTAGGTAAAGCAGCATTCCACACGGTTAACCAAGCCCCTTCTCGCCCAGTAGATCAAATGAGGGATCTTGTACACAAATATGGGCAAAACAAAGCAAATGCACCTTCAGGAAACTGGGATGATAAATTTACGGTGAAAATTCAACCCTGGAATGAGGATGATGATGATATACCTGAATGGCAGCCACAAATCCCAATCCCCCATAATCAGTTTCCTCCCAAACAGCAAATGCTTAACTATCACATGCTGAATCAATCATTTATGGCCTCACCCAATCAGTCAATGCTGCCAATACAATCACTGCAATCCCCTGTAAATGTTATGCATGGCCAACGAAATGTTGGCTCTCAGTGGCTTCCCTCTATTGAGGAAAACAACCCACTGCCAAGTGGTGTCCAACCCTACGGAGCCACTGCATGGCGTCAAAATGTTCCAGGAAGTAGAGGCTATTAGGTTTTTTTTTTTAAATATAAAGTCAAAGATTTTGTTCCTTTTTTCGTAGCCTAGCCTTGTAATCGAATTTCAAGTTTATTTTTCTTTCTGTTGCATCCATTCCTTTCTAGAGCAAGCGAATGATTATTTTTCTTGTTTCAGTTTACCAACAGTAGGATTTCCACACAATAATATGATGGAGAATTTTGCATACCCTGACATACTCGTTGTCTTTACTACTTTTACACATGAATGAAAATATTTCTTGCCCACATTAATGGTCCATACTATGTACGTATTTCACATTGTGCAAGTATTTTCTCTCTGATTAGCTACATGCGCCATTGGTTTTATATTGAATTAAAAATTTTCTCACTCGTCTAAGAATAGTTCATTCTTACTGAATCTAAACAATTGATTCATATTTTTAATTAATATCTTTTAAAAAAAATTCTTAAAAAAGACAGAAAACAAACCTTGAAACATTGTCTTCTTGGATCAAAAATTAAGAAATGTTAAGATTTTTAAATAAAAATTGAATCAGTTTAGATTTGATAAGAATGAATAATTAAGATTTATTCACCAATAGTAAGTTAATTTCAAGTTAATAGAAAGACATTTATAATAATAATAACTAGAGTTGAGGGACCAATTGAGATGAAATTAAAGTTAAAGATGCTATTTGGAAATAAAAATAAAGTCAAAGGTAGCTTTAACAACTCTTCTCGTAAACAAAATCAACTCAGAATTTTTTTCCCTCCATGCAATAAGGCTACTTAGCTATTATTGAATGCTAGGGGATATGCTTGAGGAAGAACGATCATGCGTACGATTACAAATTGAAGGGGGATTCAAACCATTACACACGGAGATTGTAGAGCATTATTCAGATTTGCTTCAACTAATAAAACTAATTTCATTCACAAAACTATCAATGTTATAAACGGAATGTTAAAGTTTAATAGTATTAAATGTTTGATCCAAGTTTTGTAATAGAAAAGAGTAGTGCAGAAAAAAATAGTCAAACGAAAATAATCCTGACAATCTAGCATTTTTCAATAAATTAGTGTCCAGACTCCAGAGGATGTTAAAAAGAACTCTTATTTCGTTCACATTAACGCCAGTTAGGATTGAAAATACACACACACACACACTCCACTTAACAAAAAGGGAACAAGGAGAAAAAATGTATTATATCTATTGCAAAAGCTCCAAAAGGGTTCACCAGGGTACAATTCAGACAGTCAGCCTATCATCTTATCCAAAGCAAAAATAACCTTCATTTTCTTTTCTTCTGTGCCTTCCAATTCATACAAACCACAATTTAGCTTACCAAAAAAAAGCTTCACAATTTCACTAGGCACAAGCAACCAATCAAAAGAAAACATTTCAGGCTATAACAAGCAAAACAAGACGCAGCTGAGAACTATACAAACCACAAAATCGAACCAAGTACGAGAGACGTCTCCCCCTAAAGTAAATTTTCCTATTTTTACACTTATTGTATCCAACCAAACCAATTGTCAGTTACAAAGTAATTCACAAGTCATTGGCTGATGCCATGTGACTAGATGAAGTGCCGGCTTCTACTGTTACATCCTTCTGTTTTGCTGAAGCAGAGTCAGCTGATACTCCAGACTCCGGAACATCACCAATATCCAGGGTGTCTGGAAGAGTTCCAGAATATTCAACTCCATCAAACTGTAAGATGAAAACAAAAAACTCTCAAAAATTGGATTTGCAACTTAATATGTTTCACAAGTGATCCATCAACTTGGATATGACTGCTAAAAGCTTTCGTTCCTAAGCAGATGTTAGACATAACTAAACTATGATAATTCTGGCAATGGATTATATCCAGAAACTGATAGACTAACATGAATTGGCAAAGGAGTTTTTAGACAATTTCGTAATATTTAATTCTTATTTTCATCAGGCACATATAACAGAGAACAGTATATTTTGTTTATAACAAATCTTCCTTTGTACAGGTTTCCAATCAGTTATGTGTAATATTTCAACATTCCTGCCCCAAACAAAAACAGAGCGAGAGGGAAAAAGTGAAATGGAAGAGCAGAGAATGAACAGGAAAACAGAAAAGCAACTGCGAGAAAAGTAAACCAAGTGTTAAAACAAACAAACTGGGAATACATAAAATATTAAACAAATCAAACAAAACAGCACAGCAATCTCAAATCATTTACTGAGGTTCAACAACCATAAGACGAAAACCTTTTCTTCTGTCGAGCGTAATCTAGAGATAACAATGTTCAGAAAGGAAAGAAATGGAAACAGAAAAGAGAAAAGTAGGATGGGATATCAATTACCTCTTCTGTCTACATCTAAGTACACATGCTAAACGGAAATTTCTAGTCAATGTCACTGCATATTATGCTAAACGGATATCAATTCATTGCATAGAAACTAGTATTTAACTACACTTATGCATTATATGAAGACAAAAAAAGTTTGATCAATTAACAAATTGGATGAAGAAAAAAGTAGCACTGAATGAACAAATTTAAAGCCCAAAAACAAATAACTTTAAAACTATACCTCAAGTTGGTTGAGCATGTCAATAGCAGCTTCCACGTCACCACCATTTACGGTGTAGACATCTACAAGGGACTGATGAGATATATCGGGAAATGACATCCTAAGAAATTCCATATCCATATCAAGTTCTTCATCTAGCAACTGCTTATCTCTCAACTCTCTCACATTTTGTGATGATGAGCTGTATGAACTAGAAGCAGGCTGGGCTTTCACACTGCTCAACCTTTTGGTGCTAGAATCCATAAGTTGCTCAACCTTTGTGGTATGCTGAGGATTCTGAAACCAAACAGTCCCATCATAATTCTGGGAACCTTTTTCTGTCCCAGAAGTTCCACCCTCTGCCAACCTTCGAGACATAGGAACATATGAGGCTGCATACGGATTCAAATTAGATGCTCGTGGCTTCATGGACTTGAATCAGAAAGATAAACTATTCCTCTTCTTGTTCTTCTTGTTCTTCCTTTGGTGATGAACCCCACACATACAAGAGAAAGAATAAGTCAACATGCTGCTTAAGTCAATCAAAAAATACATTCTTTTCTTGGAGGAGGACAAGTACAATAAAGAATCCAAAGCTTCAAAGCCAAAAGAATTTGTAAATGCAAAAGAAATACTATGAAGTAAAATAATATATATATATATATATATATATATATATATATATAGGGGCAGGATCCTTTGACACCGGTGCCAAATTTAAAATTTGATACCGGAATTTGACACCTCATCTGAAAAGCCGTCGTTAGATCAATGGCATAGAAACTAGTATTTAACTACATCTAAGACACTGGAATTTTAAATTTGACACCGGTATCAAAGAATCCTACCCCACATATATATATATATATAGAGAGAGAGAGAGAGTACAAATGAACAGGTTGCTACCTGTTCAAAACCCAAAATTATTAATGGTAATTCAATCTTGAAGTTTTCTTGCAACCCTTTCACAAAGATAATAATAAGTGCATGTGTAAGTAACTTCAATTCAATCATACAAGTTATCAGATCAAGAACTTGTTATGAAAAGATCAAGAAACACCAGCAAATAAAAACTAAGAAATTTAACTTTTTACCAAAAAAAAAAAAAAAAAAAAAAAAATTAACTTTTTCGCTATCCCTTTTCAAACACTTTCACGATCAAGATTTAAGGAAAAAACCTCAAAACTAAAACTTCAATCATATTTTCAAAAAAGGAATTTGCAGTGATGCATCGATCCAGAAAATCAGCGATTCAAACCCAAAACCCACTTTTTCTTCTTCTTCAAATTCAATGATAATTTGATCGTAGCCTTTCCATATGCAAATATAAGTGAATAATAAAACTGTGATTCGAATTGCAGACACTGAGATACCAAAGAAAATTAAGAAAAAGACGAAGAAGAAAAAGAAACTGAAAAGGGGAACGAACCAGTTAATCAAAAATCACGAAACCCCAATTCTTGAGATCGCTCTGATTGGAACGGGAAAGGTTTTATAACTGTGATTTGGTTAATAATCACTATTTATGTATCAATAAATAAGATAATATTTATTATCAAGAAAAAAAATAAAAAGCATAAAAGGAATGAGCGCTTGCAGAAAAACTGGACCGATAATATTCATTCGACCGGTAAATCGGTGAACCGTCGTATAACTCATCCGGTTTTCATTTTAAATTGGTTATGTAACGAACCGGTGCTACCCAATATGACCCCATTGATTTTTGTAAAAATTAGTGACCCATTCGATTCAACTAATGACCCAACCCAATTTTAAAAAAAATTAATTTGTTCTTATCAATTAATGTCTTTAAATTTTTCACTCTCACACAAATGACACAAATGACCCAACCCAACCAGTGATATTGTTACGAACACAATAAATAAAAAAAGGGAATTTAGTTTTATTGAGGAAACCTGACCTCAAATGGCTATAATAAGTAAGCCTAACCTTTTGCGCAAAGTGCCTTTTGGGATAACTTTTCTAATCTGATTTGATAATTTTCATTCCAATATTTCAATGTTTAAATAGATAATATGAGCCAACCATAAAAGTAACTACTCACTAACATCAAATAGACTCCACTAATAACAAAACAAGAAAAATAACTACTCACTACTTAAACAACCCAATAGTTCAGAAAATAATAAAATAACATAAATAAAACTAATAAATATGTTTCTTATTGATTTACATAGGTTATGTACTTACAATACTAATATTATCTTGATTATGCTATATGCAAAGAATTTTGATTTGATTTATAGAAATGTCGTCTACTGAACCTGAAACACTACTATCACAAGTATAATATGTTTGATAGATTTTTTGTTGGACAATGATATGTAATTTATTTTTTTTATATTAAAATAGGGCAAGGTTATACTTACAACCTATTTTTCTTTACAACCTCTTACAACCCATATCTTAACCGTTGATTTCCGTCAATCAACGGTTAAGATTTTTAGAAATTAAATTTATTAATTAATTATTAATTTGCAATAAATCTTAACCGTTGATTGGCGGAAATCAACGGTGTTAAGATATGGTTGTAAGATGTTGTAAAAAAAAAGGTTGTAAGCTTCCTCATTAAAATATTTGGAATTTGTATCATTTTTTATAGGCATTTGAGTATATTTATATTTTTTAATATAAATTATAGATTTACATATACTTACCGGGTCATGTGGTTGAACTAGTGACCCAATGAACCTTGAACCAATGACCCAGTACCTCGACCGGATCAATAACTGAGCCGGATTTAATAACAATGCGTTTGACGGTTAATATTTGTAATCTAAGTAATATCTTTTAATTGATTTTCATGTTCGATCATTCCTCCTTCAATGTTGCCTAAGGCCCAATGTTGTCTTTTGAGGGGGCTCAAGAAGCTTTAGTCCCACTTTTGATATTCTAGATTTTTCCTTCCTTTCCTATATAAGCTTGTGGTATGTGAGAGGTTAGGGTTAGACAATTTTGAGAGAAATTTGAAGAAAAACTTAGAGTCTAGAATTTGAGAGTGTCTCTAAAGAGAAACTTGAACATTAGACCTCCTTAGGAAAGTTTGAGTGAATACCACCATTGAAGGTGATGTTTGAGTGTACCATCAATTGTGGGAAAATTTGATCTTTTATAACCCATTATTTATATAGTAGAGGTTTGATTATGAACTAGTGTCATATGAGTTTTTATTTCTTCACATTGGAGAATGTTTTCTCATATTAAACAACTTGAATGTGTTCCTTTTTGTCTCTCTCTTTGCATAATTCTATTTCTGATGCGCATTAGACAACCTAGTAACTCAATCTGACATCTGCGATTGCCGAGCTCCGAGCTCGATGTTTGATTTGCGACATGCATCCGTGCCGAATTTGAGGGAACTGAGTTCCCAATAGTGGTATTAGAACCTAGGTTCAAAGGGTTCTGAGGAGACGAGATAGAGACCAGTGGCGTAGCCCATGACGGTGACATGTTAAAGCTGACCGCAGACAACTTTACTTATTGGAGATCGATGATGGAAGACCATATATACTGCAAAGACTTGTATGAGGCCATCGTCCATGAAGAGAGGTCTGAAGGCAAAACCGAGAAGGAATGGGAAATCTTGATAGAAAGACGGTGGCCATGATCAGAAAATACAAAAGCCTTTCGAGCATATTGCCAAGTTCACGAACGCGTATGAGTTATGGACGAAGTTGGAGTCCATGATTCAAAAGAAGACTCTCAAGAACAAAGCACACTTGGTTCGCCGACTTATGAAGCTAGAGTACAAGGATGACATGAGCATGATTGAACACCTCTACACCTACAAATGAATTTTGAATCACCTGTCTAAAGCCGAGATGAGGATAGATGATGAGATGCAGGAGTTGCTGCTGTTGACCTCGCTTCCAGAAAGCTGGGATTCTCTAGTAGTGACATTAAGTAACATGACTTTATATGGAAAATTGACTATGGATGTTGTGATTGATAGCCTCTTGAATGAAGAGTCCAGGAGAAGAGAACGAGGTGTTTCCAGCAAGTTTGAGGCTAACGTGGTTGAGAATCGAGGTAAATCTGACTCCCAGGATCGTAGCAAGAGCCGAGGTCGTGATTGACGTGATAAGTCCAGAGGTCGGTCTAGACCGAAATACGAGTTGAAATGCTTCTATTGTGGGAAGCTTGGCCACAAGAATCCTGACTTTAGAACTCTGCAAAAAGATGAAAAGAAGACAATAGCCGAATCAGATTATACCGAAGAAGAAAGAAGATAAGAGCATGACTGTGGTGGCTGCCAACTCAGATGCTGAGATCTTCCTCCTTGGTGAGGACAATATTTTGAATGTAGCATATGATGATTACGCCTGGATTGTTGATTCTGGTGCCTCCTTCCATGTCACCCTACACAAAGGATTTTTCTCTTCTTACCGAAGTGGCGACTTTGGAGTGGTGAAAATGGGAAACCAGGTTACAAGCAAAATTATTGGTGTCGGTGATGTAACCCTAACCACAGATGTCAGGTGCCGACTTGTGCTAAAGGATGTAAGGCATGTTCTTGACATGCTACTTAACCTAATATCGGTAGGCAAGCTTGATGATATCGGGTTAGTGAACTACTTCGGAGGATGTAGATGGAAACTACCCAAGGAAAACTTGGTGATGGCCCGAGGTAAGAAAGAAGGTTCATTATACGTGTTGCAAGGAAAGATCAATGGTGGAGAAGCCAATTCTGTCCTAGTTGGACCTAGCATGGAGTTATGGCACAAACGTCTTGGCCACATGAGCGGGAAGGGGCTCCAGATTTTGAATAAGAAAGGATTGCTAACCGGGTTGAAAGGCCAAGTGTTGGAGAGTTGCACATACTACCTAGCTGGTAAGCATCACCGAGTTTCGTTTGTGAGACCGAATCAACCCCGACGACGCAGGTATATTCTTCACCTCGTCCATTCTGACGTTGCTCCATGTCAAAGAGATCACTTGGTGGAGCTCAATACTTTTTTCATTTATTTATGATCATTTCCGTAAAGTGTAGGAGTATTTGTTGAAATCTAAAGACCAGGTACTCCAGGCCTTCAAAGAATTTCATGCTATGGTGGTTCGATCTGACAATAATGGTGAGTATTGCGGCTCATTTGATGCATATTGCAGAGCGGCCGAGATCCGACTTGAAAAGACACGCCCCAGACTCCTCAGCTGAATGGAGTTACTGAAAAGATGAACATGACTATTGAAGAAAAGGTCTGGAGCATGCTATCACATGCCAGGTTGCTGAAATCTTTCTGGGGTAAGACCATCAGAGTTGTCGTTGACTTGACAAACCTCTCACTATCACGACCATTTGAAGGAGAAATTCTTGAAGAAGTCCGGACAAGTCGAAAAGTGGCCTATGATCACTTGAAGGTGTTTAGATGCCGAGCTTTCGTACATATTCCTAAAGACGAAAAGACGAAGCTGGATGTTAAAATTAAAGAATGTATTTACCTCGGTTCACCGAAATGTGAATTCGGGTTCCGACTTTGGAATCCAATTAACAAGAAAATAGTGAAAAAACCGAGATGTGATCTTTCACGAGAACGAGACAATTTAAGACATCTCGAAGCCCAAAGTCTGGATTGCTGTTCGAGGTGAAGAATCCATCCCTTTTGTCTGAGGTGAAGCATGGGGAGAAAATCACGAAAATTTTGAACAAGTTAATGAGGACCAAGATGATGAGATACGAGATAATGAGATATGAGATAATGAGAATGCTAAGCCAGAATCTCAAAATGAAGTTCAGACCAAACACTCTACAAGAGTGAGACGACCTTCTACAAGGTACCCACCTGAAGGGTACACCGTTGTTGCTAAAGATGGTGAACCTCAAAGTTATGAAGAGGTTATGACAAGCTCAGACAAAGAAGAAAGGGAAAATCCAATGCAGGAAGAGAAGAAATCTTTGGAAGAAAGTAAACTTATGAATTGACTGAGCTACCTGAAGGAAGATGAGCTTTGAAGAACAAGTGGCTGTACAAAATTAAGAATGAAGAAAATGGCCAGAAGCCGAGATACAAAGCCCGGATTATGGTGAAAGGCTGCAATCAAAAGAAAGGAGTTGACTTCGAAGAAATGTTCTCTTCTGTTATGAAAATGACTTCGGTCCGAACCGTGCTAGCTATGACGGCTTCAATGGACCTCGAAGTAGAGCAGATGAATGTGAAGATGACATTCCTTCAAGGCGACTTGAAGATTAGATATATATGGAGCAACCTGAAGGGTAACGAGCTTCGGGACATGAAGACTTGGTCTGCCGTTTGAAGAAGAGTCTATACAACTTAAAACAAGCACCTAGGCAGTGGTAAAAGAAATTTGAATCCTTTATGATTGAGCACAAGTTTGTGAAGACTGAAGCCGACCACTGCATGTTTGTCAAGAGGTACGAAGCTAAAGATTTTATAATTTTTCTATTATATGTTGACGATGTGCTGACTATAGAGCAAGGCAAGATGAGGATAACTGCCTTAAAAAAGGCATTAAGCTCGTCCTTCGTGATGAAGGACCTCACCTCCGCAAAGCACATACTCGAAATCAAAATTATCCGAGATCGACCTAAAAGGCTACTGAGTCAAGAAAATTACATTGAGAAGATTCTGAAGAGATTTAGCATGGAGAATGCCAAAACAGTAAGCACCCCTTTAGCCGAACATATTAAGCTGAATCAGAAGCAGTGTCTGAGATCTGATGAAGAAATGCTGAAGATCCCATCAATCCGTCGTCGGAAGTTTGATGTATATAATGGTATGTACAATATTCGACCTGGCGTATGCTGTTGGAATGGTGAGCCGATATCTGCCTAATCCCGACAAGAGAACTGTAAAGCTGTCAAATGGATTTTCAATTATCTCAAAGGAACAACAAATTTATGCCCCCGCTTTGGAGAAGGTAAGGCCGAGTTGTAAGGCTTTACGAATGCTGATTTAGGGGGAGATACTAACTCGAGCAAGTCGACAACGAGATATTTGATGACATTTACAGGAGGAGCTATCTCTTGTCAATCTAAATTACAAAAGTGTGTGGCACTTTCGCCAACCGAGGTCGAATATATAGTTAAGACTGAGGCTTGCAAAGAAATGATGTGGATGAAGAAGTTTCTCTCTGAACTCGGATATGATCAAGACAAGTACGAGCAGAAGTGTGACAATTAAAGCGCAATTCATCTTGCGAAGAATTCGACCTATCACTCTCGCACTAAACACATTGATGTGAGGTATCACTGGATCAGAGATATGGTGGAGGATGGACAACTCAAACTCGTTAAAGTGCACACCGACCGCAATTGGTCTGACATGATGACCAAGCCAGTATCAACAAGAAAATTTAAGGACTGCTATGAAGGTGTCGGGTTGCTGCTGATGCCGACTCATTGAAGTCGGAAGGGGGAGATTTGTTAGGCCATTCCTCCCTCAATGTTGCCCAAGGCCCAATGTTGTCTTTTGAGGGGCTCAAGAAGCCCTAGTCTCAATTTCGATATTTTAAAATTTTTCCTCCTCTCGTATATAAGCTTGTGGTATGTGAGAGGTTAGGATTAGACAATTTTGAGAGAAATTTGAAGAAAGACTTATAGTCTAGAATTTGAGAGCACCTCTACGGAGAAGCTTGAGTATTAGACCTCCTTAGGAAAGTTTGAGTGAATACAACCATTGCAGGTGATGTTTGAGTGTACCACCCATTGTTAGTGAAGTTTGATCTTTTGTAACCCATTATTTACATAATGGAGGTTTGATTCTGGACTAGTGTCGTGGGTTTTTACTTCTTCATATTGGAGAAAGTTTTCACACATTAAACAACTTGATTGTGTTCCTCTGTCTTTTTCTCTCCTTTGCATGTTTATGTTTTTATTGTGCATTGGCTGACCTGGTAACTCAGACCGACATTTGTGATTGTCAAGCTCTGAGCTCGACGCTTGATTTACGACACGCATCCGTGCCAAATTTGAGGGAGCTGAGTTCCGAACAATTCATAACACTCATATTATGAGTATGTATAGTAAAAATTTAGTTAAGAAAAAGTCTAATTAGCAAAAAAATCTCAAAGTAGAATAATAATTTTTCTTATAAACTCCGTGGGACAAAGTCATAGACAACGAAACAGTGATAGATCCAGAAATTTTTTGGAACAATGACCAAAATGCCACTGTTCACCGACTTTTTTTATCCAAATGCCACGCGAACAATGTTATTTTCCAAAATGCCACATATACAAGTTCGCTACAGTAGGTAGCGAACTTCATTTGCTGACGTGGCACGTTTCTGATGGCCACCTAATTCGCTATTGGTAGTAGCAAACTACGTGGTCAAAATGTCAGTCTATTCTAATTATTTTCAGGACACATGGCAGTCTCTCCCAAGTTCGCTATTCAGTCTAGCGAACTTGGTATAATAAAAATGACAGTCTGCTCAAATAAAAATAGAACGCGTGGCAAATTTTATCCAAGTTCGCCAATCTAGCGATCTTGGTATGATGAAAGCCACGTCCATCCCTCCTATTCTTTATTGGTAACAATTATTTTTTGTAATTTCACTTGCCAAAAGTCGTTTGCTTCTTTACATTTTCTCTCTCTTTCTTTTCAAAAGTCCAGTTTTTACTATTTAAAAAAAAACAAAAAAAAAGTTCAGCTTTTACTCATTGGTCACTTCTTGGTCTCTTATATAACCTTCAAAACACTCAAGAATTCTTTCTCCTTCCACAAAAAATAAAAAATAAAAAAATACCAACACACTAACACACTAAAATAAAGGTCCAGTTTCTATTGGAAGATATAGGGTCAGCGTGTCTTCATATAAGGACTTCATTTCTCCTCAACACTGTACAGTTAAAAAGCAACATGTAGTTCGCTGCACTATGCAACGAACTTATCCAAGTCAACGATTGATATTTTTTATCACATAGTTCGTTATTGTTAGTAGCGAACTAGGTAACAAAAAGATGTCACATCAGCAAATGAAGTTCGCTGGGCACTGTAGCGAACTTGCCCGCGTGATATACTGGGAAATAACACTGTTCGCGTGACATTTGCTAAAAAAGTAAGTGAACAGTGACATTTTGGTCACTGTTCCAAATTTTTATAATAAGGACAAAAATTAAAGATTATCGTTACAAGTATTAATAAGATTAATAAGAGACATTTAACATTACAAGTATTTTTGAGAGAGGGGCTGACTATTAGGATAAATAGTCTATTATTATTAAAAAATATCATTTTATATATATAATAAGGGAAAAGTGTTTGTCATTTTAAATGACAGAAAGTTATATCATTTTAAGAGAGATACAGACACAAAAAATTTGAATTTTAAATTAAAAAAAAACACCCACTTTCTCTCTGCCATGAATTCTGTTTTTCTGTGTCTATCTCTCTCCTAAAATGACGTAACTTATGTAATTTAAAATGACAAACACCGAACCCATATAATAATAATACACATCGAAGTTTAACGAGGGGCTACCGCAGATAACTGTGATTGGAATCGCTCTGATCGAAACGAAAGAGGTTTTATAACTGTGATTTGGTTAATAATCACTATTTATGTATCAATAAATAACATAATATTTAGAGTAAATATCTTTTTTGGTCCTCAGCAAATTTCAAGATGCCCGCTTTAGTCTCTAGCAAATAAAAAGGGCTATTCATGGTCCTTTAGAAATTTAAAATGGACTCATTTAATTGAAATCGTGGTCCCTCACAAATTCAAAAAAGATTCACATTAGTCCCTCAAAAAGATTAAAATGGGTCTACTTTGAATTTTTTAGATATCACGAATAGCCTTTTTATTTACTAGGGACTAAAGCGGGCATCATAAAATTTGGTGAGGATCGAAAATGATATTTACTCCAATATTTATATGAAGAAAAAACAAAAAGCATAAAAGGAATGAGTGCTCACTGAAGATTAAGTGATGAACCCACACGGAAGCTGAAACGTTTGATTGTTAATTGAGACTCTCTCTTGTTATTGGTTATCTAAGTAATAATTTTTTTTTAATTTAGAGGAAGATTATATTTACAACCTATTACAACCATATCTTAACTGTTGACTTTCATCAATCAACAGTTATCATTTATTGTAAATTAATAATTAATTAATGAATTTAATTTGAAAAAATAATAACCATTGATTGACGAAAATTAACGGTGAATAGATTGTAACTCTTTAATTAATATTCATAACACTTACATTATGAGTATGTCTGGGTAAGAATTTCATTAAATAAATCTAATGAAAAAAAAATCTCAATATGAAAAAAGTATAATATCATTAATGATTAACTAGAATAATAATTTATCTCATAAACTCGATTGGACATAGTCATAGACAGGGAAACAATGACATCCAGAAATTTTTATAATAGGGGTAAAAATTAAAAATTAGAGTTAAGTATTTTTAAGATGAATAGGAGAGATAGGGGCTAACTATTAATAGTCTATTATTATTAAATAATAATAATAATAATAATAACAATAAACAATTTTTTAAATTCAACTTTAAATTTCTTAATGAAGACTCATGAACGTATTTTAATAAATATTCACCAATGCAATTATACCACGTTTGTTCAATTATTTTAGCCCATACAAACCTTTCAAATTTGAAAGAACTTATTTTTTAATAATTTACTTACATGCTTAAGACCTTTTAAATCTTTCAGGAATTTTCATATACACATCGTTATCAAGTGAGACATAAATATTTTGCATAGATAATTGTGCTCTAATTAAATGTTTTTAATGAAGACAAGAAACATGAAATTTCAGAGGTAAAATTGTATATAACATGGGCTGTACTTACATGCTAGAGTACCAAATCTAGCATGGGCTGCAATGAAGACAAGAAATATTTTGTATAGATAATTGTGCTCTAATTAAATGTTTTTAATGAAGACAAGAAACATAAATATTTTGTATAGATAATTGTGCTCTACTTACATGCTAGAGTACCAAATCTAGCATGGGCTGCAATGAAGCAATGCAAACATTAAATTGAATGCAAGATAGGATTTGATGGTTTTGATGCAGAAAGAAACACACTGCTCAAGCCAAACGTACACAACTTACCTTATTTGTCATCAATATCTTAATCATGCTATATTTCCTTTCATTAACATTGAATTTCTGTATAAAACTAATAGGCTGAAGTATTCATGAATTAAGCATCTACATATTAACATGCTCAATCTGAGCAAAAAAATAACATGCATCTACTCTACTTTTACATACTCAGAGAGTATCCCAAAATTCCTCTTTCATATAAACATGATATGTGAGGTAATTTTGAAGTGGAATGCATTTAAATTTCATTTACAAAGGGTAAGGCCAAGCTACTAGGAAAAGTAATACAAATTAGTCTTAGGTAGGGAAAAAAATGCAGTTGCAATTTGCAAATGTTACTTGGATGCAAGTCAATCCTGGGATGTAGCAGAATATTCAAAAAGAAGGCGTTTGGATGGAGCAGATTGTAGGAGCACTCTCAAACGACTTGTAAGTAGATAGCTCAAGGTCCACTGCATTGCCATCTCAGATTCCTTCATTTGCCTAACTATTGTGGCCTGTAAGAAAATTTCTTAGATAATTATAAACAGTAAAAACCTACAGTTTACAAATTGGAACAGGTTCTTAGATAATTGAAAAAGGATTTGGTATATTTAGGTAAAAAAAATTTAAAAAGAAAAGAAAAGAAAAAAATTTGATATAAAAAAGTATCTAGTTTAGGAATGGTTAAGCAAATTAACCACTTAACTAGTTAACAAGGTTCAAAGAGTGGTCAATGAGTAACTAACCACTTATTATTCCTAGACTGGAAAAACTTTTTACCAAGAATTCCTTGTGATAAGAACCTTGGGATGCACCACCCCAAAAGCTAGCTTAAAGGGTAGGAGTGTCCAAGGCCTTATAAACCCCACATTGATTGTCCATACAACCAATGTGGGACTCCAAGTCCCATACCTTGCAAATAAGTCCTAACATTCCACTATGCTCCACAGTCCCGGTGCGCTAGTCTTTTACTAGCTCCGGGCGAACACTGCAATGCCGGCGTCACCACTCGCGCCGCTCAATTGCAACTGGGAGACATAGTGGAAGACTCTGATACCATTTGATAAGAACCTTGGGATTCACCACCCCAAAAGCTAACTCAAAGGGTGTGAGTGCTCAAGGCCTTATAATCCTCACATTACAAGAAATTGATGGAACCTAATATTATTCATAAGAAATTGCAGAAATAAATGGAGACAAGCTCCTTACAAGAATAAATTGCAGAAAATAAACCCCAAGAAAGCCTCAACTCCCCCTCAAACCAAACACCTAGGCTCAAGAGTTCCCTAGAGGTCACTCAAATTCCCACTAACCAATTCTGAATACCTGAATACCTCACTACACACACTCACTCACCTTTTATTCTACCCACAGAATATTCTAGAATAACTAATTAATTGGCCCACTCACTTTTAGGCCCATCAATACTCCCCCTTCAAAATTCACCTTGTCCGCAAGGTGAAGAAAGAGGTCAAGTAATGTGAAAGAACTCCCACCCGGGTCCCAAATTTTGAAGCTTCTTGACCACATTACTAGTTGCAATTTCTTACCCATATCCTGTCCAGGAACTGACTTAAGCTTTGGAATAACATTGGCTAACCCAATCAAGATCCGAGTGGCCAACTTAAAGGGACCTAAGTCATCCGCAATTTTCCAAAATGGTAAGCAACCATTAGAGCCAATACTCAGTGAATTTCCCTCAACCAGATATGATCCCTTTTGAATGGAGTTAGGCCCATTATGATTCAAGCCCATCCAATTTCCATTATTCCCTTCTAATATTCCTTGCTGAATCATGGGCTGGATTATTAATGTGGGTTGTGAATAATGACCCTCTCCTTTTGAATTAGGCCCATTTGTTCCTCGGCCCACAATCCCAATCACCCAATCCAACCATGTGTCCGTCTCTGTCCCTGCTACCTCTTGCATCATCGACCGGTGCTCTTCTACGCTCGTCATCGCTACCTCTTGCATCACCGACCGGTGCTCTTCCATGCTCGTCATCAACAAAACGTGAGACCTATCTTGGTCTTCTTTTTCCCAAATCTGCACCGCTTTTGCATCGTTCCCTTCCGATTGTTCTTTTGTGTTTTCTGATTTGACGTCGTCTTCTCCGGTTTTCTGATCTGTGTTCCCTTTTTTTTCGAATTCGGTTTTCTGATCTGCGTTCCCTTCTTTTTCTTTTTCCCCTTCTTTCTCTTTGATTTCTGTTTCTTCTTCTTCTGATCTGTCCTTACTGTCTTCTTCGGACTCTTTCTCTCCTTCTTCGTCAAACGCCATCTTCTTCTTCTGCAGTCTTTGATCTTCCTCATCTTCTCCTTCTTCTTTTTCCTTTTTCTGCAACGTCCTTGTTGTCCATTTTTTCTTTGATGTTTCGATCTACTATGCTTCCATCTTCTTCTGCATTTTTAAAGCGTTGCGACTTCATCTTTTCATTTTTCAATCTTCGTGTTCTCAACCACTCAATTGTTCCATCCAACATCTTCATCATTTTTTCTAAATCTTCCCTACGCTCACTGATTCCAACCATTTTTTTCTTTTTTCTTTTTTTTTTGAAATCTGGATCAGAAGCACCCCTAGATCGGACGTGCTCTGATACCAAATTGATGGAACCAGAAAAATAACATTGAAATTATAGAGATAATGGAGGTCATGCCTCTTTTACATACACTAATATGCAGAAAATAAACCCCAAGAAAGCCTAAACTCCCCCTCAAACCAAACACCTAGGCTCAAGAGTTCCCTAGAGGTCTCTCAAATTCCCACTAACCAATTCTGAATACCTGAATACCTCACTACACACACTCACTCACCTTTTATTCTACCCACATAATATTCTAGAATAACTAATTAATTGGCCCACTCACTTTTAGGCCCATCAATTGATGGGCTACGATTAGTGGGCCCAAGTTCAGCAATGCAAAAGAGTCCATAGTAGTTAGTTAGAGGAGAGAGATGTTGTTATATAAAGTGATTTGGGGGTGGGGTTTTCATCATTCATGTATTCAGAAGTGGTTAGTGAGAAATGAGAGACCTCTAGGGAGCTCTTAAGCCTAGGTATTTGGTTTGAGGGGGGGTTGAGACTTTCTTGGGGTTTATTTTCTGCAAATTAGTGTATGTAAAAGAGGCATGGCCTCCATTATCTCTATAATTTCAATGTTATTTTTCTGGTTCCATCAATTTGGTATCAGAGCACTTCCGATCTAAGGGGTGTTCTTGATCCAGATCTGAAAAAAAAAAAAAAATGAAGTTCAGATTTACTACTGTTCCAAAATTCTTTGGAGAAGGAGATGATGCTTGGGGATGGCTGATCGATTTGGAACAATATTTTCAGATCGAAGGAATCAATGAAGATAAAAAATATAGGGAAACGGTGAGAGGGCTAAGAGGGAGTGCGTTCAATTGGTATCAAGGTTGGAAGTGGTTGAATCTTACCGCAAACTTGAAGAAGTTTGAGAAGGCGTTCATAGAGAAGTATTTACCGGAAATTTTATTGGTAGATGATGGAGAATCAGATCCAGCAATTGATGGTGATAAAGTAGCAAAAGAACAAATCAAGGAAGGAAAAGAGAAAGAAGCAGTAACTTTTGCTAAAAAAATAGAGATCGAAGCAAAGAAAGAAGAAACAGAAAAAAAAGGAAGAAGAAACAGAAAAAAAAGAAGAAAAAAGAAATAAAAGTGCAAAAAAAGTAGAAGGAATTGATAAAACAGAAAAGGAAGGAGCAGAAATAATTGAAAAAGGGGTGGAAATTGCAAAGGAAGAAGCAAATGAAGACACAACAGCATCAGCCAACAAAGCAGAAAAAGAAAAAAAAAATGAAAAAGAAAATACAGCAGAAGAAATGGGAGAAAAAGGAAAAGAGGCGCAGGGAGATGAAGAAGATGGAGAGGAAGAAGCAGACGAAGTCAGATCTGAAGAAGAAAAAGTGCAGAGAAGCGAAGAAACGATGATGGTTGCATGGAAGGTGGTGACCGGTTGGGGCAGAAGTGGTTTTATTGGAAACGGGCTTGGTTTGGGTCAACATTCTGCAATCACGACCCGATCCTATAATTTAATTAAGGAAACAAATGGGGAAGGGGCTGATTCTAGTAATGGGCCTTACAATAGAGGGCCCAATTTAATTAACCCCATCAATACCAAGGGGATGCAAACACAGCCCAACAAAGGCAACTACAACTTAGGGTGCAACGCAAAAAAAAGAGGCAAGACGAGAAACGGCAGAGGGGCAAATACTGACGGAGACGACAATGATGATCGGAGGACTATACGATTCCGGCGACTGTCTTCAACGGAGATGGCGGAACGACGGCGGCGCAACTTCTGGTTCATGTGTGACATTGGAAATTCATCAACCCAGGTTCGTTCAAACTCCCCTCCTCTTGACAAGCTTCTGGGTACTTGCAAACCCCCTCTTGAATGTTCATCCAATTGGGGAAAGCTGGAATGGGGCACAATAAAGTCAGCCCAACCAGAAGAGCAACTAAGCACTACAAGAAATAGACACAGAGTTGGTGGGTCAGGGTTTGTACAGCTCAACCCAATGCGATTTTTTTACCCAGCTGGTGTTCATTTATTCTCCCAAGAGACAGAGGAGGATGCAAGTCTTGAATATATGTTTGTTGTGGCTGGGTGGATTTTGGATAATATGATTCAGGAACAGATAATGTTGCAGTTGCTAATTGGGTCAATATGCTTCAAGCAATGGGATCCTGGTGGATGTTCAATTACATCCCCTATTCTCTTCCTCACCTTGAGGACAAGGTGAATTTTGAAAGGGGAGTATTGATGGGCTATGATTAGTGGGCCCAAGTTCAGCAATGCAAAAGAGTCCATAGTAGTTAGTTAGAGGAGAGAGATGTTGTTATATAAAGTGATTTGGGGGTGGGGTTTTCATCATTCATGTATTCAGAAGTGGTTAGTGGGAAATGAGAGACCTCTAGGGAACTCTTAAGCCTAGGTATTTGGTTTGAGGGGGAGTTGAGGCTTTCTTGGGGTTTATTTTCTGCAAATTAGTGTATGTAAAAGAGGCATGGCCTCCATTATCTCTATAATTTCAATGTTATTTTTCTGGTTCCATCAGTTGCCCGTACAACCAATGTGAGACTCCAAGTCCCATACCTTGCAAATGGGTCCTAACACCTTGTCTCTAAATTTTTTCCATATTTAGCCATTACTTCAGAAAAGAGTTGTCATTTGAAATGAATTTAATGGGTATCATCTGCTGTTTTATTTAGAAAGCAATACTATAGCTATTCTCTTCCCTCTATTTTGATACAGAATAAATAATTGACACTAGAAGTCAGCTGAAATTAATGGTAACATAGGTCTTGGGAAGCAAAGTTTTGAAAGATTGACCAGTTTTTATTATGATTACCTGAAGACGTTTCCCAAGCTGGACTTCAACTTCAGTACCAAACGATATATTACTGGCAAGTGACTTGAGAGGATCTGCTGTAGGATCAACAGAAACCAAACTAGGAATCTGAGGTGCATACACTAGCCTCCACCTAGCCTGGCCAAACTCTCCCTTCCCTTCTATTCGTGGCATCAATTTTTCAAGAGTTGCAGTTGCAAGCTTTTCAAATGCAAGCTGACCATTGCCTTCCAAAATGGATTCAGCTAATTGGCTCTCAAATCTTCTGGCAGCCTGCATAGATTGAAAAAATTAATAGGACCATTGCACTCGATCATCAGATCATGCAGATGTTGACCTTCAGTTCACAGACAAAACTATCAACTAGAGTTTACACTAAAATAAGTTAGAGAAATTGTAAAGAACCACTTCAACCCAAAACCTTAAGGTGTTAGGTGATGGTCTTTTTAATGATTTATATTATTCTCTAACACACCCCCTCACACAAGAGCCCTTTAGGCTTGAAGTGTGGATATTGCACAGGCCCAATTTTTGGTTTACCTTTTTGTGCTTTTTTTTATTTAATTCCACAAATGGGGGCGATGAGGATCGAACTCGTGACCTCATGGTCACTGAAGCTCTGATACCATGTAAAGAACCACTTCAACCCAAAACCTTAAGGTGTTAGGTGATGGTCTTTTTAATGATTTATATTATTCTCTAACAGAAATTTTTTTGGAGATTTCAATTGACCAGAACATAGTGAATCTGTTAAAATCCACATGATGGTATGCTTTGTCCCAAATGGGGATTTTAAGAGTTTAATCAGTTTAAGGACCTGGCCCAATACTAACAGGACTCAAATAGGAGGATATGAGATCTAAGATTTCAATTTTTTTTTTTTTTTTTTGATAACAAGATTTCAATTTTTTATGTGTGCTCTTTGGTGTGAAATAGACATTATATGCTCTAGTTCATAATATCAACAAAATAACTGTTAAGAACCTTGGGATACACTACCCCAAAAGCTAGCTCAAAGGTTGGGAGTGTCCAAGGCCTTATAAACTCCATATTATTTGCACATACAACCAATGTGGGACTATATATCTCAACACGCCCCCTCACACGAGAGCCCACTGGGCTTGAAGAGTGGACAATGCACAGGCTCACCTACCTGTGCGAACAAAGAAATTCTACTTGAAAGAAAATGGAGGGCGGCGAGAATCGAACCCGGGACACGAGACTCTGATACCATGTTAAGAACCTTGGGATACACCACCCCAAAAGCTAGCTCAAAGGGTGGGAGTGCCCAAGGCCTTATAAACTCCACATTAGTTGCACATACAACCAATGTGGAACTATATATCTCAACAATAACTTACATTAGCTCATACATTTCCGAGATTTCAATCTTTTAGTAATTGCTATGAGATGAGTTATATTGTTTTCTGGTCACCGGGAATGCTTGTATTTGGTTTGGTGTATGTGTTAGACAAATGCAAATTTGCAAATCCAAATAATAATAATAATCATAATAACAAGGCAAACTTTTGCTGTCAGAACTGAAAAAGAAAGGATTCAACAATGCAGGAGCAAGGAGTCTAACACATGAACGAATTTAATGGGTGTGAATAAAGCCATTGTTGGGCTAGGTCCTTCATGTTTTGAACTGATGGTGAAAAGCTGGTGGCTCTCAATATATAATAATTTCTTTAGATCTATTTTCCCCTAGCATCTTTTTCTAATAGATCAAGATTACAGCTAAACTTACACAAATAACACATAGATTACAGTTGAATAAAGGACTAACAAGTTGACTTTCATGCTACAAATTGGTCATGCAAGACAACAACGTAGGCATATCTTTTACCTCAGTAGGTGAGAGCGCATCCTGTTCCACAGAACGCGTTGAAGTCACCACAAGTTTGTCTTGCCAATTGCTAGCTCTACCTTGAATTCTAAATTGCCACTCAGATCCAACTAAAGCTAAATCTAACAACGGATCTAGTCCATACTCAGGCTCAAATTTTGCAATATTTAAGTGCTCTCGTTTTAATCTCACCTGCATTTGAAATGGATTGTATCAAAATAAAAAATGGGTTACGAAATATAAAAGCCAAACCAAAACAAAAATAGCTTAGAAGAAACCACAGGTTACAATTTACAAGATTTGCAAAATAAAATGTCACTCAAACCTGTGTTGCAACTAGATCAACTTCTCCATTCTCGAATGCCAGTATGCCTCTAGGTTTTATCCATTTGGGATGGGCCAGACCATTCAACTCAAGCTCACCACTAACAGCAAAATTAAGAATCAAAGGATAAACTATCTTCAACTCGGGTCCAAGTATAAGCTTCAAATCATTCAGGCAGATTTCTACATTTGGTTTAATCTGCACTTGCTCCATCTCCGTTTCAACCTGAGTTGACTTATTAACTGCCACTGTTGTTTTTTTAGGAAAAAAAAAAAATTAATATACACTAATAGCCATTGTGAAAAATATACTAAATTATGAACAACATAAACAAAAGTAGAAGATCAAGCAATCAAATGATTTATCCTGGCAATGGCATGTCCTAAGGTTTGTGATGAACTGTGTGGAATGGTGAAAAGAAGTCTAACAAATTCTTCATTTTTAGAATTTTTAACCCTTATCATGATTTGGCCCTTAGAAGATTCTTTTTTGAAGGTTAATCTCCCAGTTAAGGCTTCAGTTTGGACTGCAATACATAAAATTATACTAATGATTTGTTGCAGCAGAACAATACATGCAATGACTTGGTGCCTCTGGTTTGGTTGGATAGAAATAACAAAATTCTAAAGGATAGTTGCTTAGTGTTGTAATAGTCCCACATACTTCCACACATAATATTCTCGGTAAATCACTGTAATTGTTGTTGAAATTATAGAGATTTAGCTATAGAGGGAGGACAAATACTTAAAAATAAAATTATATTGAGATTATTGTGAAGGATGTGATATGATGTGATACAAAAGACAAAGTAATAACTCTTATTTATCAAAAGGGGACTCCTGAAATAAGGAAAAAAATCATGAAATATAAAGAAATATAGAAACCAATCCTAAGAGATCATCTAACATACTCTAAACTATTTTAAGATATAATCATTACAATATAAAATATCGTCTAGATATTCCAACAATTGTAAAATATTTTGTCACCATAGCTATGTCATTTTATTAGGGAAGTAATTACTTAACTAGGTCTACATTTTAGAATGAACCTTTTAGACATTGACAAGATGGACCTGTTGAGCAGGCCTGGAAAGTGTTCACTAGAAGAAACAAGAAAAAGGAGGGAACAGTTAGCTTAGTTAGTTAAAGGGTAGTTGACAAGTAGGGTTAGCACAAGAAATAAGAAGTCAGTTTTAGACATTCTCTGGCTGTGCATTGGTTCCGATACTTGCACAAGAAATCACCTGTGCTGTCTTGGAGGTCGCAATTTTGGCAACTGTTTATGAACATTTGGTGAACCTGCAGCAAAGGTGCACTTTAGAGGAATATGTCCAGGAATTTGAAGCACTGGTTTCACAGGCACCCGAGGTTAATGTTCCTTGGATAATTTTGGGAGGGCTCCTGACAGAGGTACAATGTCGAGTGCGCACGCATGATCGCAAAGAAATTGGCAAAGTGATCAATCCATGGAATGTGAAGAAGAGTTATGTTCGACCATAAATAAACTCCCTTTCACATGGCAGAGAATGTGGGAGGGTAGGAAGCAAGAATGGCTTCCGTTAGTTAGTAGCAGAATAAAAAGATAAAAGAGTGGAGAGAAGGGGGACGGGGGGAGGAAGAGATTACGGCTGGTTGGGAGAGAACCAGGCCTCTCAAATTGCTTGGCATATTCAGTATATCTTCTTTTTTTTCAGTTTCTGTTCTATAGAGAGAGGGAAAGAGTTCTAGAATTTCTAAACAAACATGCCACTGTTATTGATATACACTATATAAGTTGCAGAATTTCAGTAATTATACAGAACTACTCAGCTAGTTCTGGTCAAGTTCTACCAAAACATGAGAAGTAAGTCTAACAACGTATAAAGGGGTGTGAGAGCTTTTCATTTCCAATTACTAGTAAGGGAGTTCATTCTGATTATATAGCACTCAGCACTAAATTATACGATAAAAAAGAAATCACAGGCTAAACTGATAGACATGTAAAGTAATACCAGAGCCAGATGATTGAGAAATTTTGGCCTTTGAAGAAGCAGATTCTGAGCTGAAAAATCGTGAAACATATCTTGAAGCAAACACTCGGCTAACACCACCAGCAGGAACCATAGACTGATTTGATGGGAATCTATTAGAAGCAGGAGCACCACCTCTATCATGTGGCAGATATGCTTCTCCCTGACTTAGCTTGATATTTCCAGATATGTTTGGTTGCAATATCGAACCAGTTATTTGCATCTGAGAATCAACCTGACCACTGACAAAAGTAGAACATCTGTTTTAATAGGAATCATGTATAGGAACAAGAGAATACAGTTCCAAAAATAAATGACATTTATGATTAAAAGGTCAATCAGCCACTTTACATTCATGAATAAGTCAAGACATCAACAAGAAACCTTCTACAGAAGTTAAGAATGCTACCTAAATATTTTTTGTGCCCGTACTTCCAGAACTTCACACTTTAATTCAATCTTGTCATCAAGGGCTGCTTCACTAGTTCTGAGTGGTAGGTTCCCTTTTACAAGAAGCTTTCCCTTTCTGCTTACCCTACTCTCCAGTGAGGTGATGCATAACCGGTTTGATTTGACATGAACAGTTCCACCAAAGTTGGTTAGAGGCTTTTGGAGCACAGGTGAAGAAATAGATGCCCTGTGGAATGTTGCGTGCCCATTAAGCACCGGTTGATCAACTGTACCTCTGACCTATTAAGTCAAACCATATTAGAGAGGTAAACATCAAATATGTGAGGAAAATTATATTGACTTCACCCACCTCAAGCACGACATCAGCATTGCCATGAAGCCAATTGGCATGAGGAGATAAAGCTGTCACCAACGTCATTCCTCCATCTTTTATATCAGCATCAATCCTTACTTCTCCAACATCTAAAATTTGCCAATTTAAGCCTTTAAGGCCTTCTGCCAATTGTGTATTCCAACCTTCTTCATTTTTATCTCTAGAAACTTTTATATCGCTGGCATCTTCAGCATTTTCTCTATTCTTCTCCTTCATCCAATCAGGAACCCAAGTAGACCGACTCTTTTCTAATTCTACATCTTCCTGTAACATGTTATTTTGCACAAAAGCAACAGGAATGCTTCCTTGAATGAGTACATGACCATTTTGGGTTATAGGTTCAAATTTTGTATTGAATAGAAAACGACTGGTTGAGGTTAGAGAAGCAACAAGTTCTGCTCGTCCAAGATCAATACCACCAATGGCACCATCCAGGAGCCTTACTTGGACATCACATTCTGGTTTTGCTAAACTTCCTCTAAGATCTCCTTCCATGTGCAGTATACCCCTGATGGGTGCCAACAATTGCCGCAAAGAATGAACAACATCTGTTGCTGTAGATTCAATGATATGAACTACAGTTGGGACCAGACTAACGGGAAAATTTAAGACAGCAAAATGAAGGTTGGATTTAGGCCCCAACAATGTTCCATCTGCATGGACGGTGGCATTATCCTTCTGGATAAAAAATTTCTCCAGGTGCATACCATCATCATTACTGTAAGCACCAACGGCCAAGACACGCTGAGCTTTGTAGTCTCCCCATTCCCAGTCCTCCCCATGAAAGTCAAATTCTGCCTAAAATGACGGAATAAGAAAGTTGGGTCTGTTTGATTGTGTTCTGGTGTTTTTGTTCTTAAAACTGTTTTGTAAATTTGTTATGGAACAGTTGTTTTCTATATTTTTTTCTTTTTGAAAGTTAAAAACCAAAACAAAAAACAAAAACACCTCAGACATGTTCTCTAAATTTGATTCTAAAAACAAAAAAACAGTTATAGTTTTCAAAATATTTTTTACAAAACAGGTTTTACCAAACGAGTTTTTTTGTTTTTTTATTCTGAAAACTAAAAAACTGTTTTTAAAAACACTAATCAAACAGAGCCTTAATCTTCAAAAATAGATTATTCATGCCAACTCCTAGGAATACAAAAAATGAAAATAAAATAAAATTACCAGGGTGTCTCCATTTCCTCCACCACTAGCATCAAGAGATCCACGCCAGCGACCTTTGAATTCAGATAAACCAGGAAGACTTAAATCTTCAAGAACAACATCATTTGATGGAGCATGATGCCCCCTTATTGTCTGCAAGTTGTGTGTATCATTAACAATAGAAAAAAGAAACTTTTTGCAATGCATTTTATTGGGCTAAGTAGTATTATCGATAAAAAGTAGCTACAAATGCACTTCATGTTACAAGCATATACTCAGGCATCAGGTATTGCGTCTTTTCAAAGGAAAATAAGATATAGTGATCCTTTGACAGTACCTCAAGCAGTTGTTGAAGGCTTTCAGCATATAATCCCACTGACTGCAAACTTTGAATGAAGAAATCCTGCATACATGTGGCATAGCAACACGCATAATCAGTCTTTCTTAACTAAAGAAAATGTATACACTATACAGGATGAACTACATGATTTTGGTGAAGAATACAATCGAAAAAACATTAGATTATATATATATAGCTAGATATGACTCATGGGTATGCAATTTTAATTCAATAAGGCTACTTTTATTAATAGAACAAAATTTAAAATCAAAAGAAAAGCTTACTGCTAGGTTTTTGAAATACAGCTCCGGGTGAGTCCGAGGGATTTACAGTGCAGGGGTTGGGAAAGTTTGAGAGAAAGATGAAGATGAGGAGTAGAAGAAATTCTTTTATTGATATTAGGAAAAGGAAGTTTGAGAGAAAGATGAAGATGAATATGAGGACTGGTTTTTATTAGGAAAAGAATACAAGAGCAGAGCTATTCACAAGGGAGTGCTCCCTTCACACTGAGGGATATCTAAGTCAACTAACAAATCTCCAAAAGTGGCTCTCCATCGAGAGAGCATCCTCCTACATACATTGACATATCTCCCCTCCTAAGGGACTAACCAAATAACAACCCACTTGAGCATTTGCTAACTGCTCTTCCTCCTCAGTTTATATCCGTAACTAACCTAACTACTGCTTGGGCAAATTCCTTCAAGAATATACTCTCCAAGCTGTAGGTTTCCCTGTTCTTAAGGCCAATCGTAATTAATATTACCCACTTGTAAGAAGCCAGCTCTGGATAGTAGTCACATCTTCCCAGGAAGCTTCTTCAGGTGGCTGGTCCTCCATTGCATCAGAACTCGGTCCGCTGACTTCCCTTGCTGCATAACCATACAGGAACCCAGCACTTGAGCTGGAAAGAATCAGACAGCATCCACCTGGAGGTCATCAGGGATCTCCTCTTCCACGGGATGCTGGGCAATAGCCTTCTTCAACTGCGATAAGTAGAAAACTGGGTGTGATACGTAGAAAACTGGGTGTATACGTGCCTGAGGAGGAAGTTGGACTTCAAAAGCTATTGCCCCAACTTGCTTGGACACCAAGAAGGGCCCATTATAAGGGCTGCAAACTTTGTAGTGCCCTTGGGCAAATCACAAGGATCAATACCAGCCATGGGTCAAATCACAAAAGCTAAAAAACGAAACCCCAAGGTACTGGAATGACTTCAACCAAGCATGTTGGTTAACTTGGGCATGAACAGAGAAGGTGCGGCCAGATCTAAAGAGAAGGATGTTGATCAAGGTGAGTGAAACAAAACTAGTGGCAGGATGCACTGCTACAAAACTATAACAGCAGCATGTGGGACAAGACACAGAAACTTGGGGAGGCGTGAAGGCATGTAGAGAGGCCTTTGTGGCTATGTCTCTGGTTGATGATAGAGCAAATGGAGGTGAGTTCAGAGATGGAGTTGTCAGCTGGAAATGTTGTTAGAGAAGTCTAACATAAAGCCATTAAAGCAGCCTTCACTTAACAGTTTGTGCTTTTAGGTGAGATAGTTGCTTATTATGGTATTAGGTGACCGAGTGGTCATGAGTTCGATACTCACCAACCCCTATTCTTCTAATGAATATTTAACTGTTGTAATATAAGACTGAAATGTATTTTTCATATATTGATTGACACCCAAAGGGTTCTTTGTATACAGATTACAAGGTAGTTAAGGAGTTGAAGTAATAAAGAAAATGCACAGTAACGAAGAGGCATCACACTACTCAAAGAGACTAGTAGCTAGTAACAAGTAAAAGACTCTAGAATATTCTACACTCCCCCTCAAGTTGGGAGATATATATTGATCATCCCCAACTTGCTAATTAAATCCTCAAAGATGGGTTTGTGTAATCCTTTGGTGAGAATGTCGGTTGTTTGCTCCTTGGTAGGTATATATGACAAACATACACTACCCTACTCTAATTTTTCTTTAATAAAGTGACGATCAACCTCCACATGTTTGGTTCTGTCATGATGGACAGGATTTTGAGCAATACTAACTGCAGCCTTATTATCACAATAGAGTCTGACAGGTAAAGAATAAGATATCTTTAACTCTTCAAGGAGTCTTCTTAACCAGATTCCTTCACAAATGCCATGGGCTAACGCTCGAAATTCTGCTTCTGCACTGCTTCTGGCAACAACAGTTTGTTTCTTACTTCTCCAGGTCACAAGATTTCCCCAGACATAGGTACAATATCCTGAAGTGGATCTTCGGTCTATTGCAGAGCCAGCCCAATCAGAATCTGTGTAGATTTCTATCACCCTCTTGCGTCCCCTTTTAAAGAGCATTCCTCGACCAGGGGTGTTTTTGAGGTACTTGAGGATTCTATAAACCGCACTAAGGTGTTTTTCCTTAGGAGAATGCATGAATTGGCTAACCATGCTAACTGCAAATGCAATATCAGGCCGAGTGTGAGATAAGTAGATCAACTTCCCTACCAACCTTTGGTACTGCTCCCTGTCAACATCTTTTCCATCTTCCATTCCCAATTTAATATTGGGTTCAACAGGAGTTTCTGCTGGCTTGCACCCAAGCATACCTGTTTCTTGTAGCAGGTCTAGGATATATTTCTTCTGAGATAAGGAAATTCCCGCCTTGCTACGAGCAACTTCCATTCCAAGAAAATATTTGAGTGATCCAAAATCCTTTAGTTCAAACTGATTAGCTAAACCCCCCTTTAAAGATTTCATTTCCTCCCAGTCATCACCTGTGACAACTATGTCATCAACATAAACAATGAGGATAGCAATTTTGCCACTATCGGAGTGTTTAAAAAATAAAATGTGATCAGTCTGAGCTTGGACAAATCCTCTTCCTTTAACAGCACGAGTAAACTTTTCAAACCACTCTCTAGGGGATTGTTTAAGTCCATAAAGAGACTTCTTCAACTTGCATACTGAACCATCTCCCTCTTCAAAACCAGGTGGTGGATCCATGTAAACTTCCGCATGTAAGTCCCCATTTAAGAAGGCATTCTTTACGTCCAATTGATGCAAGGGCCAATCAAGGTTGGCAGCAAGTGATAGCAGGACTCGGATAGAGTTAAGTTTGGCAACGGGAGCAAACGTCTCCTGATAGTCTATCCCATAAGTCTGAGTAAATCCTTTGGCAACCAATCTGGCCTTATATTTGTTGATGCTGTTATCTGCATTAAATTTTATTGTGAACACCCATTTGCAACCTACAGTTTTCTTTCCTCTGGGAAGTGCCACGGACTCCCAAGTTCCATTTTTTTTAAGTGCATCCATTTCTTCAAAGACTGCATCCCTCCATTTAGGGTCATTAAGTGCCTCTTGGATATTTTTTGGTATTTTAGTACCGTCTAATATAGTGTTGAAAGCACGAAAACCTAGAGATAACTTTTCATATGAAATGTGATGAGAAATAGGATGAGCAGTGCAAGATCTAGTACCTTTTCGAAGGGCAATGGGCATATCTAGGTGAGCTGTACCAGTGTTCTCAAGTGGATTGCTGGAACTAGGACTCGGGTCAGAATCCTGGCAGTCTAGAGGATCTTGAGAAGATTTACGCCTGCTGTAGAACTTTCCCCATTTACCGAGAGGATCTCCAGTCTCTGGTACAGTTGTTGTCCTTGTCTCCTGTACATTAACTCCCCCTGTCTCCAAAGGTAAAGAAACAACAGATGTTTCCAAGGGTAAAGGTAAGACATTAGAATTATTTGGAATCCAAACTCCCCCTGAAGAGAAGTCGAGGGAAAAAATGATTGTGTTTCATAAAAAGTAACATTCATATAAACAAAGACCTTTCGAAGAGAAGGTGAGTAGCACTTGTAACCTTTTTGATTAGGAGGATATCCTATGAAGACACATTTAACAGACTTAGGATCAAGTTTGGACCTTTGATGTAGAGGAATATGAACAAAAACCACACAGCCAAACAACTTTGGAGGAAGGGAAAAGAGAGTCCGAAAGGAGGGAAAAGAGCGCGTAAGGCAAGATATGGGGGAATGAAAATTCAGGACACGAGAGGGCATCCGATTGATGAGATATGAGGCAGTCAAGACAGCCTCCTCCCACAGGTATTTAGGGAGATGCATCGTAAACAAGAGGGCTCTAGCAACTTCAATGAGATGTCTATTTTTTCTTTCAGCCACCCCATTTTGTTGAAGGGTGTTAGGACAAGAACTTTGATGGATAATACCTTGCTTGGTTAGGTAATCACCACGAACAGAATTAAAATATTCAGTATCGTTGTCAGTTCGCAGGATTTGGATAGAGGTCTGGAATTGAGTTTGTACCACAACATGAAAGTTTTTAAAAGTGGCTGCAGCTTCATACTTATCCTTTAGAAGATATACCCAGCATACTCTAAAATGATTATCAATGAAAGTCATAAACCAACGAGTTCCAGATATATTTTTTTCACGAGCTGGCCCCCAAATATCACTATGGATCAATGTAAATGGAGACGAAACATGATAATCTCTGAGGGAATAAGAAACACGAGAGTGTTTTGCAAATTGACAATCATCACAAAAAAAGGAACTTGGTTTTTTATTGATAAATAAGTTTCGAAACAGCTTTTGAAGATAAAAGAAATTTGGGTGTCCTAAACGACGATGCCATAACAAAACATCATTACAATCGTCTGATAAACATAAAGAGTGATTTGCAAATAATCTCTTTTCATGAGAATCTTCTTCAAAATAGTAAAGCCTTTCTTCCTCTCTAGCACTGCCAATCATCAGCCCTGAATCCTCTTCCTGAAAAACACAGGTTTTGGTAGAGAATTTAGCAACACAACGCAATTCAGAGGAAAGTTTACTAATAGAGATAAGGTTACAAGTAAGAGAACGGACATGAAGGACAGAATTCAGAGTAATATGTTCAGAGAGCTTAATGGATCCATTTCCCGCAATATTAGAGAAACTACCATCAGCAGTCCTTATTCGTGACGGGTGATAATAAAGGGTATAAGAACAAAACAAGGATGCATTACCTGTAATATGATCAGAAGCTCCTGAATCAAGAATCCAACGACTACTACGATCAACATGGAATGCCATACCTTGTTGAGCAACATGACTAGTTGCCTCAGCAAATTGAGACATCACCTTCTGGAATTGCTCATACTGAGCTTTAGGGATGAATACACCATCGGACTTTGGAGAGGCACAAGACTCCTCACCCTTATCATCAGAAGAGATTTGATAAGCACGACTCTTGTTCAGCCCCTTTGTTTTCCAGTTTGGTGGTTTTCCATGAATTTCTCAACATTTTCCGCGAGTGTGACCACTCTTATTGCAATGAGAACACCATCGGTCAGAACATTTTGCATCATTAGGGGGACGAGGAGTGTGTTTTGCTACTAAGGCAGATACATCGGAGGATTTAGAGTTCTTGTCTCCCAACATTACCTTTCGGCGAAGTTCCTCCCGTCGTACCATAGAAAAAGCAGCTGCAATGGAAGGTAACGAGTTCTGCCCCAATATCTTTCCACGAACATCATCAAGATCACGATTAAGGCCAGCAAGAAAATCATAGAGACGTCTTTTCTCTAAGTAACTCTTAAACCTTGCATTAGCTTCTAAACCTTGAAGATCTGCTACATCATAAAGATCCAACTCCTGCCACAGAGTTTTTAAAGCAAGAAAGTATTCAGTAACAGACATCCCCTCTTGATGTAACTCTCTTACCTTGGTGTTGAGTTCAAAAGCCTGAGAAGCATTGCCCAAGTCAGAATAATATTCTTTAACGGCATCCCAAATTTCCTGAGCCGTATCAAGAAACAAATAAGTTTGACTGATATCAGGATCCATGGAGTTAGTCAACCAGGTCATGACCAAGGCATTTTCAGTCATCCATTTATCATAATCAGGTTCATCAGCTTCGGGTTTTTCCTTTTTTCCATCAAGATACCCCATTTTCCCTTTTGCTTGGATAAACAGCTTGACAGATTGATGCCATTGCACATAATTCTTACCGTTTAAACGGTGGTTAGTAATCTGTATAGCTGGGTTGTCTCCGGAAGACGAAGAACAGGGAAGAGGAGAGACACCGGAAACACTGCCGGATGATTTGCCAGAATGCTTATTCTCAGCCTCATTATTTTCAACTTCCATCGTTCTAAAAAGAAGGAGAGCAACAGGTCACACCTATTGACTTTGATAACGAAGAGGAAACAACTGGACCCAGCAAGAAAAATGCTCCAATCGTGATTTAAACCCTCAGAACAGGAAGAGGGAAGCCATGCGAGCAGTTCTGTGAAAGCCGCGTGACAAACGGAAGCCAGCAGGGCGGCGCGTGGCTCACACGTGCCGGCGAGGCTGATCTGCTGTGGCGGCGCGTGGCTGACGGTCCGAAGCCTCATTATTTTCAACTTCCATCGTTCTAAAAAGAAGGAGAGCAACAGGTCACACCTATTGACTTTGATAACGAAGAGGAAACAACTGGACCCAGCAAGAAAAGTGCTCCAATCGTGATTTAAACCCTCAGAACAGGAAGAGGGAAGCCATGCGAGCAGTTCTGTGAAAGCCGCGTGACAAACGGAAGCCAGCAGGGCGGCGCGTGGCTCACACGTGCCGGCGAGGCTGATCTGCTGTGGCGGCGCGTGGCTGACGGTCCGACGACTGGGCTGACGTGGGTCGACTTGGAAATGGCTTCTGAGTCCAGTGGTGGCCTTGGTTTCGTGATTGGAGGGGTCCAGATATGGTTTCTGAGTTGTAGTAGAGGAACAGTGAAAAAAAATGGAAAAAGAAACAACGGAGGTTTACAAGAAGACCACAGGATAACCTGCTCTTGATACCATGTAATATAAGACTGAAATGTATTTTTCATATATTGATTGACACCCAAAGGGTTCTTTATATACAGATTACAAGGTAGTTAAGGAGTTGAAGTAATAAAGAAAATACACAGTAACCGAAGAGGCATCACACTACTCAAAGAGACTAGTAGCTAGTAACAAGTAAAAGACTCTAGAATATTCTACATTAACTATGGAATTTCTTAGCACATGTAAGTTTGCCTTCCCATTATCCATCTTCCAAGCTCAATGAACTTTTGTGTGAGGGGATGTGATAGAAAAGTCTAATATAAAACCATTAAAGTGGCCTTCACTTAATAACTTGAGCTTTTAGGTGAGATGGTTGCTTATTAGTTATCATAAAAGTGATTGACAGAAGCAACATGCGCTTATCTGTTAGAAACTGACGAAGCAGAGGAAGGTCGGCAAACCAGAGTGAAAATATAGTTGTTTGAAAAAAAAATCACCAGCAGGCAATGGGTCCACCAGGCATGCCCATTTTTGGGTTGCCTATCTTTGGATTCTAGATATCATGTTGAGAGAGAGGAGAAAAGAAAAGCCTATGCTGAAAACTGTCTCTAAACTGCACGGCAGACTCAATATTTATATAATGAATACAAATAAAAAGATACAATTTTCCTAATTACTATATTCATATGATGACTGAACCTAGATATAATTATACACATTACTAACAGCTAAAAAGATGAAGCCATAAGCAGAACTTCTTAATCAACTAAGCTACATTAAGATGGATAATTATGAATATACGTAACCTCCCAAGACATGAATAATGATACAACCTTAGATCTTGAATGAACAGCAGGATCCATACTTCGAGAAAGAAGCCTCGCAAGAGGAAACATCTCAGCAACCTCAGCTCTACGAACTTCAAGTTTCATTCTCCACCTGCCCATTGAGGATATAACACTCCCAATATGCCCAGACATTAGCCTTTTTAAAAGACCACCTCCTTCTCTGTCAATAGGATTACGATCTCGGGAGCCAGGCAACACATATTCACCTTGTAGTTCATAACAACTGTAGTTTTGTTGCAAAACAGTTTTTTCGAGAGTGATCTGAACAATGACGCATCAACTGACAATCAGTATTAAACCTAAAACCTAAACATTATTAACAGCTTTAAAAACACTGCTTTCATTAAAAGTTGTCATTTGCCTTCCAATGTAACCAAAAAGGATCTTCAATGGTTGTTGATATATATATATATATATATATATATATATATATATATATATATATATATATATATATAAATCAACTGAGCAACTGCTTTCTTCATTAAGATTAAAGGTGAGTTGCTATACATCTAAGATTGACCATCACCAGTAGCAAACATTAAAGAGACTACTTATATTTAATATTGTGCAAGTAAAATTTTAAACTGAGAAAGAAATATAAACTAACAGAATTAAACTAATGTACACTACATCCCATATTCATAATCAACTCTGGTCATGCTAACAGACTTCTTCATATAATTCCCAGGATAGCAAAAAGTTTACCAACAAGTAAGTCATTCGGGTGCAAACAAATAAGAGAATGGTACTCACAACATCTCCACTCCACCTAGCCGCCACATCTAAGGCTTCGCCGAGCACACCACTGAATTTGGGATGAAGTACAGATAGGATTCCATGTCCTCTTCTTTTTTGAAGATTAAGTTGGATTTCTGCCTGAAAGCAAAGAGCTGCCAGTTGAAAAAACACCATATATTGTTTCCATGACATGACCGTTAAATAATGCCTCAACTAGGTTATGATTTAGGCAGGGCTGAATAAAAAGGAGGGACAAAGACGACGGAAAACAATAAAGTTGATTGAAAAGTCAAATTTGTACATTAGAATTTTCACTCTCAATTCTAATATGCTACCTGTCCATCTCTCCTCTAAACATATATATAAGTAAGAGTGTACAGCAAGGAACATGGACGATGGGGAAAAATCAAATCAAATAGGCCAATATGATGCCATACCCTCTGTATAGTTCCCCTGAGAGAAGCGAGCTCCAACTCATCAAGTGGAAAATGTCGTACCTACAAGGAAGCCACATACAAGAAAGGAAAAGAAAAGAAAGATTTTCAATACCAACTTTTGGTCTAATACAAAGTCACCTAAATTATGCAAGCAGAGAAAAAACAGATCTAGATTCAAACCCTGGGCCTAAAATTTAAATATAGTTACCTCTAAACTAGCTGAACGAAATGGTTGAATACAAATATTAGTCCTCAATTGCCCTTTTTGAAGAGAAATAGACAACAGTTTCCCACTTTGCAGACCATCTTCGCTACTTGGCTGTAGTGGCCCAACAAACTCCACTGCAAGACTTTCATCAGGCCTACCAGAGGAATCCAACTGTATTCCAAGAATAACTGGAAGTTACAAAAACTATATATATTTTAGAGCCAGGATGCCAGATAATCTGAAACAGTCTCACAGATGCACAGCCAAAACTTGATGAAATCAACATACCTACCTCACAAAATAAAACCTCTTAGATAACAACTGATTGTAATATATAGACTATAGGGAAAAATAATTCTACTCCTTTAGGAAATTATATGTTGAAATTATAGGAAATTTAGGTAGTGAAGGAAGAAAATAGAGAATAAAGGCTGAATATTTGGAAATTGGTACTGATTTGATATGAAGGATGTGTTATGATGCAATACAAATTGCAAACCACTACTCCCTACTTATATTAAATATTAGATTTCAAGGATTTTTATTAGACTTCAAGTTCTAATTAAATAAGGAAACAAATCATGATGAATTATATAGATATATGGAAACCAACCTTAAGAGATAATCTAACGTAGTCTAAATTATTCTAAAGATACAATCAAGATATTATGAGATATTTTTCATACATTCTAACACTCCCCCTCAAATTAAACCTTACTAAACTTTAAACTTGTTACAACTGAAACCTTTAAAAAGTAAAAATAAGCAAACAAAATAATCTGCACTCAACAAAAGATGGCTGCAAAGGTATCTCATTGATGCTGGAGACGTCAGAGAGATAAGCATTGCTAGAAAGTCAATTCAGCAAGATGGATGGAATGATCATTAACCAGAAGAGTTAGTTGCAATGTTGCATGACCAAGGAAGAAGAGACTCGCTCGAATGATCATTAGAGAAAATATCTTGGCAAGCAATTATACAAAAAAACTAAAACTTCTCAAAATTCATTAAGAATGACAAGAACACTTAAAAGACCTAAAAAAAATAAAATTGAAACTGAGGCTGGTGCGCATCACAAGATAGATAGCACGATAGAGAGACAACTAATCAAAAGAAAGAAAATAATCATAGAAATAAAATAGAGCTGCGGATTTTATTGAAATTAGCAACAAAACAGTGATGAGACAAGTCACGGAAGATGTATCACTTTCATACCATGTCATGAACCAACTATCCTAAGAGTTTAAGCTGTTAGGTCAAGATACACGAATGATTTTATATTACACCTCTAACATGCCCCTCACACAAGAGTTGGACAATATAAAGACCTACCTACCTTATGCTGAAATTCAATTGTTTATTAGACTCACCTACATTAAAGAGATAATCTAAGATCCTCTAAATTATTCTAAGATAGAATCAAGATATTATGAGATAATTTCACATATTCTAACAGTATAAATTGTACAAAGAAGAAATCTGACCAAATAAATGGATGATATAACTAAAACTCCATGTTGATATCAATCATCTATGCTAAGTAGCAAATATCATAAAGGGAAGTAAGGTTCACAAAATTGGGAAGCATTTTGCCCAATTCTAAATTTTCTATCACGGACCCAATCAACTCAAGAGAAGAGTTTGATCCTGGCTAAGCTGCTTAACACAAGCACCAAAATAAACATAGTGAAGATGAAAAAAGTTGTAAGTGGATCACAAATTCACCCAATGGGAATAGAACAAAGGTTTTACCCATCAAATATAATTAAAATTACGAGATATCACATAATAATAAAAGGGAAATTAGAAAAAGAGTTTCTTGGAATAGAAACAATCAACCACTCAAGTGGTTAATTAAGCCAACAAGTGATTGCTTAAAAACCACTTTTTGAACATAGTTACCCAATGGATTGATTGATTATTACTGAACTAGGAATATTTTTATCAAGATTTCCTTTTTTGTGGCTTTTCCAACATTAAATCCAAACATCTTCAGTAGAAAGCATTTCCATGAATGATGATACTACAATGTGATGTGATCCAGCTGAACAGTCAAGTATACTTCAATAAATCCATAATATCTCAAAATGAAACACTTTTTAAGAAGAGAAAGTTTTATGCATCACCTTGATATGCTCAGGAGAAACTCTCAACAGCCCATACAACTGAGGTGCAAGCATCAATTGATTCAGTTTGAGACCAGATATTGAAACCTCCCCAACAAGACTATCTATTATTCCTTTCTCCAACATTTGCTCATGCTGCCTATTCTTCTCAAAATTTTGCTCGCTAATATTGCCACTAGGTTTTAAAACCTTTCCCTGAAACTTGATCCTTCCAGTTGCTTTCAAATGCAAAGGCCTTGGAGAATCCGCAGTATATGTAGAAACCAAATTGAAGAATTCAAACCCACACATACGCAAAACCAACTCAATTCCATCAATAGTAAATGGAATGGCCCTTGGTGCATAAAACTCTTCTCTATTAAAAGAAAAATCATCAGGATAAGATGTTTGAACCCTCATATACAGATCAAATGCAGCTGAAGCAGAATTCACAGTAATAAAATCATGTGAGATTATGATATCTCCCCGAGCATCGCTGAGAGACCCTTCTGCTGTAGGGGCAGTCCATTTTATATCAAACCTTCTGCAATAAAAATAATTTTTAATAAAGGAAAAATTAAGTTAGAGAGAGCAAGGACGTATTACGAATAACATTAGCACAAGTGTTTTCAATAGCAAATGGCAGTCCATGGAGACAAGCTAACAACTTATATCAAGAACAATAAGCATAATCAAAACATTTTGGAGAAAATAAAAATGATCAAAAGTATCACAAAATCAAATATAAATGCATTAGAGAGGAAGAAAAACACAGACAAAGCATAAAACAATTAACGATAAGGTCATAAAGTCACTAGAGACTAACAAGTAAAATTTCCTAAAAGTCAAGACATTGACAATCCAAGTGAGTCCTTTGGAATTGAAGCGTAGACAATGCACAAACCCATTTTACCTTGTGTTGGAATTCAATTTTATTTAGATGAATGCGAACAGCAGGATCGAACTTGTGACCACTACATCATAGAGGCTTTAATACCATGTCAAGGACCAACTCTCCAAAAATCTTACGCTATTAGGTGGAAGGTCATGAATGGTTTAATATCTCTAACAGACTGGATTTTAGAAACCAAACAGAAGAAGGAAAAAAAAAAAGAGAGAGAAGTGAGAAAAGCAAGAGAAAGGCTGGGTGTGTGTGTCAAGTCTAGGCAGGTTAAGGATGGATGACAAGGATATTACAAAATAAAAATAAAAGGGGCACCATGAAATTTTATTACAAAGATAAAAAAATGAAAGCAATGTCTGCTTGAGAGAGACAAGAGAGCTGAGAGAGAAGCAGAAACGAGTACAAAGAGAGATGCATGCAAAGCTGAGATGCAGCCAGCTACTGAGATACAGATAAGAGGCAAGAAAATGATGTTCACGGGAAGATTATTATCAAATTAGACTTTTGTTCTATTTTTCTAACACAGACTAGCAGAAAACATCAAAATATCCACTAAAGTGGGATAATCATGATGCATAAGACGGCCTCCATTTCAACCCAAGCTGTGCGATAGTACCATGCTTATGGCAAACCCACCTGGCCATGGCTTTTTGTGGAAATTTTCTGGAAACCAGCCACCGCCATCGACCATTTCACAACACTTCACTTGAAGTCTAAGAGTCATCCATCGACATGCATGGGGAAAAAACACAAGCTGGTAATATAAGAAAGCATCCCAACGCATGACGCTCCCACCCTTTTGGGTTATGGGGAAGGGCAGATGTATTTAACCTTACCCCTGTGAGCAGAGAGGCTGTTTTTAGTTTCCACCGCTGGATCCCAAGGCCACCAAGTCACAAGACAACCACCTTACTATTGCTCAAAGGCTCACCCTCACAAGCAGATATTATAATAAGCAATCATATAGTTGAATTAGTCAATAAAAACTAATTAACAAAAACTGAAGAAAGGCTCATCTTACGGTCTTAAAAGAGATCCTGAAAGTTTTGTTTCTCCATTTAATATCCCCAATTTGAGTGGCATCTGATGATAATGACTTGGTATATATCGAAGCACAATGTTATCGAAGGCTAAACTTCCAGAGAAATTCACATCTATTGCTGTCTCATCCTCCTCACCCTGAGAGCAAAATAGATATAAATTAGTAGGGGAGGGGAAACAGAAAAATGTGAGCTATAGGTTAACCAAACAAAAAAAAGACAGGCTTTCTAAGAAGCATCTGTATACCTCTGGGCATATCCATGCATTCCCAGCCCCTCGAATTTCACCACCATCTACAAGGCTTGCCCTAATTCCATATAAATCAGCAACCTGCAATATGCAAAGTGTTACCATAATATAACAAAAACTTTTACAATGAGTAACTACTCTGAACCAGCCAATGCTAAATTATTATCCCTGTCAACTTACACAGTTATCAGTGTTGAAAGTGAAATTGGCAGATACATATGAAAATGGAATGCGATCAAATGCTGCCAGTGCACCAGCCTCCTTACTTTTAGCAAGTGCTTCAGAAGCTGCAGATGCAGGGGTGTCAACTTGTAAATAAGAGAATGTCCTTGAAACCATTCCAGTGCCTACAAATACAGGAGTATCCAGCGGGCCTTGACAATTAAATAGAGCGGTCACTGATCCAGCTAGCTGCAATCAATAATTATAGGAAAAGAAAAGAAAAATAAAGGGATTGATATTGGATAAGTTAATATAACTTCCTTTTACAAGAGAGGAAAGAAGTTTAAATTGATCTTAGAGGTGTTTGCCATGACGTACAAATTCTGAAAATCTACATTTTCACTCCTATTATTTAAGTCATAAATAGCTTGGTAAGTTCTTAGTATTTTTTATCAAAAGCTCGCTCATGGGCTATACCTATCAGGTATGTGTAATTGCACTTACAAAGTATAATTAAAAAAAAAAAAGCATAATATAAGAATCTTGTGAATGTATATGCATAAATTGATTGTTTCTATTCTCAAATCTAAAAATTGCAAGAAACAGAGAAAATGCCTAACAAGAATATGCAAATAATAAACTCGCATACATATTTTTGAGTTGTCTTGAAAATTCCTTATACATGATCTGCTCCAAAATTATTAGTAATACTGTTAGAATATCTAGAAGATATTGTATAATATTAATATTTATCTTAAAATAATCTAGAGTATCCTAGAGGATCTCTTAGGAATAATTTCCCTATTTCCTTATATTTCATGATTTGTTTCCTTATTTTAAGAGTCCCCTATTAAAGTATAAATAGGGATTAGTGTTTTGACTTTGTATCACTTGGTATCACGTCATTAAACAATATTATCCGATTTCTATTCCTTTTTCTCCCTCTATATCTAAATCCATATACTTTCAAAAAATTCCCTTAAGTGGTATCACAAAGTCTTGTTTATTCAAAACTTTCAAAGTGTTAAAGTTAATGCACTGATCTCAAGAAATGTACCGGGAATAAAAGAGGTCTCATCTTAAAAGTTCTCATCAAGGCATTCACTTCAACACCAGGAACCTGGAAATTTGATCATACAAAATATTAAAGGACAGAAGAGAATCCCTCCTATTTATCACAAAATTGAATGAGGTGTGAATATGTAAAATGAACTCACTGTAAAGCCTGCAAACTAGACTGAGATTTTACCACATTTTCTCACTGAATAGTGAATAGTCACAAAAGCAATAGTAACGGTAGTTTTTCACAGCACAAAAGAGAAGACCATGTTTACTTTACATCGCATGGCTCATTCAATTTCAGTTTTCAACTGTGGCATATATTTGGAATGCAACTTTTAAAAGATACAAGAAAACCATTCCTCCCATCTGTCATGAATTGGATCAGACGTAGAATATGAAGGACTTCATTTACAATCTATAGGAAATACACATTTTCTACACTAAAAATCACTTGAGAACTTAAATTTTAGGAGAGTTGATTCCTTGGCATGCTATCAAAGTATCTTCCACAAGTGGACAAGAGTTCGCCACTCATTTATAATTAAATTAAAACTAGTTTTTCTTCAAAACAAAGTAAGATGGGTCTGAGCTTAATCCACGCTCCAAGCCCAAAGGGCTGGTGCTAGGAGCATGTCATAGAATAGCTGAAGATTTTTGGATAATTAATTCTGGACAAAAAACCAAATTTAGCAATAAAACTAATATGACTGCAGATTACAGGAGAATTTTGCATCACCAGTGAAAAATTCTTGCAAATTAGAGAGACCAAATTATCTGAATTAACTCTCAAGCGAAGTAGAAATTGTATTTCACCAAGCCTGAGAGAGAGAGAGAGAGAGAGAGAGAGAGAAAGGAACCTGACACATAAGATGAAACTCTCCTTCTTCGGGATGAATGCCGAAGTCTCCTGATGCTTCTAGAGGAACACTGCCAAACCGGCCATTTGCATTGTGTAAAAATATTCTTTGACCACGAAAACCTAAACTCGCTGATATGTTCTACAACAACAGGAATACAAAGACAGAACAAAGGGAGGTGGAAGAAAGGACCAAATTTTAGTTTCACGTTCATCTACATGAATAATATTTATTATGGCTGCAGATCTATATGCTTAAATATTGCAAACGTGATCAAAGATACAGAAGTTGTCAACAGTTATGCCTACACAGTCCATACCAGAAATACAATAAAAAAAGAAAAAAATAGATGCTTTTTGATAAAAGAAGAATTTCATTTAGATAGAAGGTACATATGAAGAGGTACCAAGATAAGAGATCTCCTTAGAAATAAAAGCACAAACAAAAAAATATCAATGAAGCAAAGCTACCCAGACCCTTATCATATCCGTAAGGAAACCCCTCTAAGAAGACTAAGAACTTTACATCAAGTAGAAGCCAAACATCAAAAAGCAAATACAAATGTTGTAAACCTGGAAAAAAAAAAGATGCAAAAAGGCAAGCGATGTGGCACGGAAAATCTGTTTCAAGGAGGGATGAATGGTGAATTTGATGACGCTGTGTGACGGGGCATAAATCTTAGCCCACCTAAATTGTTTGGTCGTAGGCACAGATTCAGCCTTGGTAGTGAAGTGGTCCACGTAGTCTTGCCCATTGAGCTAGTGTTTGACATCCAAAGCCCAAGCACCATAGTTGCTTCCATCCAACTTGTCACTTGCCCATTGAGCTAGTGTTTGACATCCAAAGCCCAAGCACCATAGTTGCTTCCATCCAACTTGTCACTGGAGAGGGGAATCGATGTAAATCGAGAAAACGGGGGGCTCAGCCATTGAGGTGTCTTTAGAGCCATTGGAGGAGCGAGAACCAGTCATGGGCTGAAGCCCAAGCACCATAGTTGCTTCCAAAGCCCAAGCACCATAGTTGCTTCCATCCAACTTGTCACTTGCCCATTGAGCTAGTGTTTGACATCCAAAGCCCAAGCACCATAGTTGCTTCCATCCAACTTGTCACTTGCCCATTGAGCTAGTGTTTGACATCCAAAGCCCAAGCACATAGTTGCTTCCATCCAACTTGTCACTGGAGAGGGGAATCGATGTAAATCGAGAAAACGGGGGGCTCAGCCATTGAGGTGTCTTTAGAGCCATTGGAGGAGCGAGAACCAGTCATGGGCTGAAGACACAATGACCAAAATGGAGCTATAGAAACTGGAAGGGCACTGTGCGAGGGAACACACCTAAATAGAGATCAGCTGAAGGAGATGAGGGTAGATTTAGGTAGATGAGAGAGAGTCGGTCATGATGCAAAAAATGGTGGTCAGGACACACCAAGCACGGCTTAAAGGATGGTGCGTGTGGCGAGCAGCAAAATACAGGAGTGGCACATATGGTGGCTTGGCTAAAAGTAAAGTGTGGGACGCGTGTGATCTCGAATCAGCCAAAAATTTCAGGATAGGGCTAATTTGGACTAGATGATCATAATGGTGGAGTCATTGGCCGGAGAGCTCGTCGAACAACGACAAACACAAGAGTTAGGCTCCCAAAAAGACAACACAATAGAGGGATACTGGAATCACTGTTCATATCGGAAACACTGTTCGCAACGCCAGATGTTCACCGACGGCACTGTTCATGCCGCAAAAAATGTTCATCGAAAAAAAAAATTATTCTACCCTTTCTCCTCATTCATGTCTTCCTTGTTCGATTCTTTCGCTTCCCCATCTGCCTCCACCGACTCTAATGGAGTGTTTCTCAACAGGACTCAACTTCAGAGGCTTCTGACTCAACCTACTAAGGCCACTAATAATGTGGCTCAGCAAGGTATGACCTTTCAAGTTGGCAATCAAACTCGTTGGATTCTTGTTTCAGGGGCCTCTGACCATATGACAGGTAACCAGACCTTGTTTTGTTCTTACACTCCATATTCTAAACCCTCTCGGGTCAAGATCGCCGATGGCAGTTTCTCCCAAATTGTTGACCGTCAAACTTTCCAAATAGATTATTTTAACATCAGTTCTTCATGTTCCTTATCTGGCTTGGAATCTCATTTCCGTTAGCAAGTTGACCTCTGAGTTGCACTATTTCGCTAAACTCTTTGCACATGGTTATGTTTTTCAGGAACAGGACTCAAAGAAGATAATTGCAAGTGCTAGAGAAGATAATTTCCAGTGCTAGAGAAGATGACGAACTTTACAACTTTGAGGAGAATGTGACGCATGAAGCTGCCTTCGTGGAAAACGATTCTATGTTTCTCTCTGACTCTTGTGATGATGTTATTGTAGAAAATCAGAATTCAAATTCAAATATTTTTCCGTTTTTATTTCCTATTAATTAGGATTAATTGTAATTAATTAGAATTAATTGTAATTAGGTTTAGTGAGTCATAGCTGAGTCATTCTTAGCTCTTTTTTCTTGTATAAATACTCCTCATTCCTCATGTAATTTATTCAATATAAATATACAAAAACCTTTTTCAATATGGTATCAGAGCAGGTTGGTCCTGAGAAAACTCAGCCACCACAACCACCGTCAAACCGGCGGCACAACGCCGGAAAACTCAACCTCCAACCATTATTAAGGTTATTTTCCCTTCCTACAAAGTCCCAAGAGCAAAGTAAGGCTACCAATCACTGTAGAAGGCAAAATCCCAGCTTTCCATCGCCGTAAGCCACCGTCAGCAGCCGTCGGAAAATTTTTCCAGCGACATTTCCGGCCAAGATCCGCACCATTCGAAACAGAAGGAGCCGATCTACAAGTTTCAAGAAGGACCATCGGATTCTGCTGAGCCACGCACCCCCACGCGCTAGAGAAAGGACGGAGCGTCCGCCCTACGTGTTACCACACGCAGCCATGTTGATTGAAAGTAAATTTCCATCCAGCAATGTTGCTCAACAAGGTATAGTGTTCCATGTTGATAATAGTAGTCGATGGATTCTTGATTCAGGGGCTTCAGATCATATGACAGGTAATGCAACCTTATTTTGTTCTTATACCCCTTACTATCAACAATCACGAATAAGAACAACAGATGGCAGCTTCTCTACTATTGCTGGAAAAGGATCCATTAAACTTTCAGATCACATTACTTTGAACTCAGTCCTTCATGTTCCCTCTCTTACTTGTAACCTTATCTTTATCGGCAAACTTACGTCTGAGTTACATTGTGTTGCCAAGTTTTCTGTCAATGCTTGTGTTTTCCAGGAACAGGACTCGGGGCTGATGATTGGCAGTGCTAGAGAGGAAGAAAAACTTTATTATTTAGAAAAAGATTCTTGTGAAGAAAAAAAATTTGTGAACCACTCAGTATGTTTGTCTGAGGATTGTAATGATGTTTTGTTGTGGCATCGTCGGTTAGGACACCCAAATTTCATTTATCTTCAGAAGTTGTTCCCAAGCTTATTTATCAATAAAAATCCCAGTTCTTTTTCTTGTGATATTTGTCAGCTTGCAAAACATTCTCGTGTTTCTTATCCTCCTAGAGTCCATCATGATTCTTCTCCATTTACCTTGATTCATAGTAATATATGGGGTCCAGCCCGTGAAAAAATATCTCTGGTGCTCGTTGGTTTATAACTTTCATAGATGATCACTCTAGGGTATATTGGGTATACCTTCTAAAGGATAAGTTTGACGCTGCATCCATTTTTAAAAAGTTTCATGCTATGGTTCAAACTCAGTTCCAGACCTCTATCCAAATTCTTCGAACTGACAATGGTACTGAATATTTTAATTCTGTTCTTGGAAACTATCTCAGTCAGCATGGTATTCTTCATCAAAGTTCTTGTCCTAACACCCCTCAACAAAATGGGGTGGCTGAAAGAAAAAATAGACATCTCCTTGAAGTTGCTCGAGCTCTTATGTTTACCATGCATGTCCCTAAATATTTGTGGGGGGGAGCTGTCTTGCTGCAACATACCTCATCTATCGGATGCCTTCTCGTGTCCTAAATTTTCATTCTCCTTTATCTTGTCTTACCCACACCTTTCCATCTTTCCGGGCTCATTCTTCCCTTCCTCCCAAGTTGTTTGGCTGTGTGGCTTTTGTACATGTTCCTCCCCATCAAAGGTCCAAGCTCGATCCTAAGTCCATTAAATGTGTCTTCATAGGATATCCTCCTAACCAAAAGGGCTACAAGTGTTACTCATCTTCACTTCGTAAGGTCTTTGTTTCTATGGATGTCACATTTGATGAGAGACAATCTTTTTTTCCTTCGACTTCTCTTCAGGGGGAGTCTATTGGGGTTGATGAAGATAAGTCTTGGAAACCAAATGATTCTGTTGTTTTGCTTTTGCCGTTGGAGACAGGGGGAGTCATTATGCAATAGACAGGGGGAGTTAATGTGTCAGATAATGTAGATCCTCCCGGGAAATGGGGAAAGTTTTACAGCAGGCGAGAATCACCTCAGGAGCCTCTAGACTGCCAGGATTCTGACTCAAGTCTTAGTTCCAGCAACACTGATACAGCCAACCTAGATGTGCCTATTGCTCTCCGAAAAGGTACTAGATCTTGTACTGCTCATCCTATTTCTCATCATATCACATATGAAAAGTTGTCCTCAGGTTTTCGTGCTTTCAACACTATGTTAGACAGTACAAAAATACCAAAAAATATCCAAGAAGCACTTGATGATCCAAAATGGAGGAATGCAGTCTTTGAAGAAATGGATGCACTCAACAAAAATGGAACTTGGGAGTCTGTAGCATTACCCAGAGGAAAGAAAACAATAGGTTGCAAGTGGGTGTTCACAATAAAGTTTAATGCAGATAACAGCATCAACAAGTATAAGGCCAGACTGGTTGCTAAGGGATTCACTCAAACTCATGGGATAGACTATCAAGAGACATTTGCCCCTGTTGCCAAGCTTAACACTATCCGAGTTCTTTTATCACTTGCTGCAAATCTTGGTTGGCCCTTGCAACAATTAGATGTAAAGAATGCTTTCTTGAATGGTGATCTACATGAAGAAGTTTATATGGATCCACCACCTGGTTTTGAAAAAGGAGACGATTCAGTATGCAAGTTGAAAAAGTCTCTCTATGGTCTTAA